CAGAGGATGCTTTACACCAAACCTGGTTCAAATCCCTCCATTAATACAGAAGGAGAAAATTTAAAACACTTTTCCCCTATTTTCACGCTAATTGGCCCCGCTCCTCTGCCTCAAGGACACCACACCCTCCATTTATAAAAATAATGCATTCCCTTTACCCAAGGATGTTCTAGACAACATTTGGTTAAAATCTCTCTATCTGTACAGAAGGAGAAGAACTTTAAGATATTTACCAAAATTTCCCCTATTAGGGCCCTCTCCCTCTTTTCCCCCTTTTATCCCCCTTCCATCTGCCCCAAGGCAGCCACACCCTCCATTTATATAAAACTCAGTCCCCTTTGCCCAAGGATGCTCTGGATTAAATTTGGTTGAGATCCCTCCAAGCTTTGTTTGTTTGTTTATGTTTAACGGCCCATTGACGGCTGTGGTCATTTAGGGCCATGGTTTTTTGTTGTTTTTTTCACAAACATGTGAGTAGCGAAGATAAAATCAGATAAAAAGATTAATTTTAAAAGCATTCGCATGGTATGTGTAAATAATTAAAACAAAGGGCCCAATGGGCCTGCATCGCTCATCTGGTATAAATCTCACACTTGTAACCTTAAAAGTGATCAAAAATAAAGCTACAGGCAAAATATCAGTACTTATGATTAAAAGTCATTCAAAAGAGCCTGTTTATTCTTTTTAAAACATTTCACCCCTGTGATTGAAAGTCGCACAAGGTCATTATGTTGAACACATTTTATAGCCTTTCATCTCAGGATGCAACTTGCAAAGCATCAACATCCTGGGACCCATGGTTATTCAGAATAGGTTGTTTAAAGATTTTAAACAAATTTGACCCCTGTGACCTTGAATATAAGTCAAAGTCATTCACTTTAACAAACTTGGTAGCCCTTGATCCAAGTGTGCTACTGACTAAATATCAATATCCTGAGCCGTTTGGTTATTCAGAACAAGTTGTTTAAAGTTTTTAACATATTTGACCCCTGTCACCTTGAATATAGGTGCAGGTCATTCATTTGAACAAACCTTTTAGCCCTTCATCTCAGCATGCTACTGGCCAAATATCATCACCTTGGGCATTTTGGTTATTCAGAACAAGTTGTTTAAAGTTTTTAACATATTTTACCCCTGTGACCTTGAATATAGGTGAAAAAAGATTGAAAAAAGGCCGACCAGCGGCCTCTCATGTTATGGGAGTACCCTTTACCCCGGCATGCTACTGTCCAAATATCATCACCCTGTGCATTTTGGTTATTCAGAAGAAGTTGTTTAATGTTTTTAACATATTTGCCCCCTGTCACCTTGAATATAGGTGAAGGTCATTCATTTGAACAAACTTTGTAGCCTTTCATCTCAGCATGCTACTGACCAAATATCATCACCCTGGGCATTTTGGTTATTCAGCAGAAGTTGTTTAAAGTTTTTAACATATTTGACCCCTGTGACCTTGAATATGGGTGAAGGTCATTCATTTGAACAAACTTTGAAGCCCTTCATCTCAGCATGCTACTGGCCAGGTGAGCTAATAAAAAGGGGGTTAAAATAGTAAAAGAGATAACAAATAGACTATGTGATATATATAACGTCAAAACGGGTAAGGTGGGTTAAAAGATATCAGAGTCTATATAATAGACTGATGTCTTTCAAATAGATAAATAATAATTAAAAGGTACGAATGAGTAGGATATGTGTGCCCAGTACGGAGCCGAGCGAGGACAACTTCCTCTCTACGATCTTTCCGACTTGGAATAGATGTTTTAAGTTTCGGTTGTACTTTAAAAAGTTGCTGCCATTCATTTTGAATGGCTGTACTAATAATTGGTTTAAAATCTGTATAGTTTGATATTTGTTTGTTGGAGATTTAATGCATTTTATGCTTCCCTGTCAACAAATTTGTTGCCTTTAATTCCGACATGGCGTATGCTTCAGCAGAAAAGATGGAGGTGCCGTCTGGTAGTCGAACTGAAGTGGAAGCTTTAGCAGTACAGCAGGCTGCTGCCACTTTCTCACCTTCTTTGGAACCATCGGTGTAAAGTTGTGTATGAGGAGGGTAATTCGAAATGCATTCCCGAAAGGATTTCCCTCGCTCATGTATTGTTAAGTTAAAATCAGGGGTTTGAATGGTCCACGGAGGAACATCAGATATGTTAAATTCAGCTATGTCAGTCAACTTTATGCAACTCCAAGCAAACAGAAAGAAGGATGAGCCAAGTGAACTAATAAAACCTCTTTAACTTTAACACCTGGCTTCAGCTCAGTATAATGTGTTATCAAAAACTAAAAACTCAACTAAACGCCTAAAACTGAGGCCAAAAAACTGAGAATACGCAAGAGCAGACTTAAGTTCAAACTCACGCTCTGGAATGAAGCTGTTTGCAATAGAATGACAGGCTTACTGTTGAATTTGGCAAACAATTTTCATGAAAACAAACTTGTTACAATAAAAAGAAATTCTCAATCATCCAAAATGTTTAGGACACACACAGTCTTCACTGGACAAATCTGCAGGTTAGCCATGTCTTTGGCAATTTATTAGCCATTTGTTGAAAATACAGTCAATGGAATAAGCCGTGAAATGAGATGTCTAGGGTCCTAATACGGGAGTGATAGCTCTGGGCCCAGAGTGCATTTTGAAATATAAATAATTATGCGTTATAGTTTCCACCCAAATGGCTATAACTGAAAAACTCAGTATCTGATCATTTTAATTGAAATATTTTTTATTTTCCTTTACTTGTTGTAAGCCAAAATATCATGGCTTGTTTGTGTCAAGTCAGACTGACATTGCATCACCGAGATGATGTTACAATCTCATAGGGTTTTCAGCGGTTACTCGGTCGGCTCCGAGATGATGTTACAATCTATTAGGGTTTTCAGCGGTTACTCGGTCGGCTCCGAGATGATGTTACAATCTCTTAGGGTTTTCAGCGGTTACTCGGTCTGGTCGGAGATGATGTTACAATATCATAGGGTTTTCAGCGGTTACTTGGTCTGCTCCGAGATGATGTTACAATCTCATAGGGTTTTCAGCGGTTACTCGGTCTGCTCAGAGATGATGTTACAATCTCATAGGATTTTCAGCGGTTACTCGGTCTGCTCGGAGATGATGTTACAATCTCATAGGGTTTTCAGCGGTTACTTGGTCGGCTCCGAGATGATGTTACAATCTCATATGGTTTTCAGCGGTTACTCGCTCTGCTCCGAGATGATGTTACAATCTCATAGGGTTTTCAGCGGTTACTCGGTCTGCTCCGAGATGATGTTACAATCTCATATGGTTTTCAGAGGTTACTCGGTCTGCTCCGAGATGATGTTACAGCCTCATATGGTTTTCAGCGATTACTCGGTCTGCTCCAAGATGATGTTACAATCTCTTATGGTTTTCAGCTGTTACTCGGTCTGCTCCGAGATGATGTTACAATCTCATAGGGTTTTCAGCGGTTACTTGGTCGGCTCCGAGATGATGTTACAATCTCATAGGGGTTTCAGCAGTTACTCGGTCGGCTCCGAGATGATGTTACAATCTCATAGGGTTTTCAGCGGTTACTCGCTCGGGAGACCACGAATAGGTTACCAAAATCAATAACCAAATAGTCAGGACATCACCCCCCCCCCCCCCCCCCCCCCCCCCCCTTGAGGAGGCTCATTTTTCCCTGGCTTAGACCTACAAATTATCTATAGTTGCAACCCAAATCGGATAGTTTTGTAATAAAACAGTGTTCAGGCTGACATGCAAGTGTTGTTTTTGTGCTCTATTATAAAGACTGACAAAGAGATGCAGCCAGCACCATAAAAAAACAAATTTTTTTGAAAAGGAAGCAAGAATGCAAAGTTGTGGAATATCAACTTGTAGAGTTACATGTAGAACTCTCTTTTACATGCAAGATGTAAATAACAATTATGCTGTCAATGAGGAATGAGTATATTGACAAGGAGATCTGGGGACCTGCTATATAAAATTTGAGAAAGATCCCTCCAGCATTTTTTGTGAATTAGCAATAGCAATATTAAACTGTCAAAATCTAAGATGGCTGTTGGTCATTTTGTACTTTTTCAATCAGTCTCAAAGGTTAACATGCACAAATACAGACCACCAAGGGAAACCTATAGATATCATTTGAGAAAGATCCTTCCAATACTTTCTGAGAAATAGCGATAACAAATCTTAACCATCAAAATCCAAGATGGCCACCTGTATAAGATGGCTGCCGTTCGCCCATTTTTATTTCTAATGATCAGTCTCAAAATGAAAGTGAACATGCAAAACTAGAGACCAATGGGAACTTACATATCAAATTCGAGAAAGATCCCTCCAGTACTTTCTGAGAAATAACGATAACATTTTTTTTTAAGGATGGACGGACAGACCATGGACGCAGGGTGATTTGACGATGGTGAGCTAACCTAAAAGGGCCGGCCTCTGTGCATCAGTGCAGCTCTGATGTGATCACCAAGTCCAATAGTCGTCACACCCCAATAACGAGAGGCCAAAAGGGCCTGTATCCCTAACCTGGTATTACTATCACACCAGTAACCTTAGAAGTGGACCAAGGTTGGATACATAAAAATTTGCTAAATTAAGCTACAGACCACAAGGTTTTCTTTATTGAGAAGAATTTATTTGACAGATTTTGTAAAAAATTACCCCTGTGACCTTGAAAGTGGGTCAAGGTCATTCATTTCAACAAACTCTGTAGCAGATAATCCTAACGGTGCTCCTGGGCAAATATTATCACCCTGGGATTTTTGGTTATTAAGCAGAAGTTGGTATAAAGATTTTAACAAATATGATGTGTGTGACCTTGAAAGTAGGTAAAGGTCATTCATTTGAACAAATTTGGTAGCCCTTCATCCCAGCATGCTACTTGCATATATATCACCACCCTAAGCATATTGGTTATTGAGAAAACAAACGGTGGAAGCGAGGCCACAGCATAAGCTCACTTGGCTCATTAGGCCAGTTGAGCTAAAAAAATATTCCCAAAAGTACTTACATCACCGACTTGTTTGTTTCCCTGTGTCCCAGGTACACGAGGGACCAGGATCTGATTCACAAGATACTCAAACGTCAGGTGGTCAGTGTATTCCTCTGCAAGGATCTGGAATGCCTTTGATGACCGGTACTTCATCTGCTGGATCTTTGGCTGGAATGCAAGTATTGCATTTAACACAATGGCATATGTATGATAAACCTATACAAGTATTACATTTAACACAAGGACATATGTATGATAAACCTATACAAGTATTACATTTAACACCAGGGCATGTGTATGATAAACCTATACAAGTATTACATTTAACACAAGGACATACATATGATAAACCTATACAAGTATTACATTTAACACAAGGGCATGTGTATGATAATACAAGTATTGCATTTAACACAAGGGCATACGTATGATAAACCTATACAAGTATATGTTAGGGTGATCATTTATGTGGACATTGTATGTAGTGATAAATTATGTGGACATTGTCAGAGTGATCATTTATATGTACATTGTCAGAGTGATCATTTATATGCACATTGTCAGAGTGATCGCTTATGTGTACATTGTATGTAGTGATAAATTATGTGGACATTGTATGTAGTGATAAATTATGTGGACATTGTATGTAGTGATCACTTATGTGGACATTGTCGGAGTGATCATTTATATGTACATTGTCAGGGTGATCATTTATGTGTACATTGTCAGAGTGATAGTTTATATGTACATTGTATGTAGTGATAAATTATGTGGACATTGTCAGAGTGATCATTTATATGTACATTGTCAGGGTGATCATTTATATGAACATTGTCAGAGTGATCGCTTATGTGGACATTGTACGTAGTGATGAATTATGTGGACATTGTCAGAGTGATCATTTTTCAGAGTGATCACTTATATGGACATTGTACATTGTCAGATTGATCATTTATATGGATATTGTACATTGTCAGGGTGATCATTTATGTGTACATTGTCAAAGTGATCATTTATATGTACATTGTCAGGGTTATCATTTATGTGTACATTGTCAGGTTGATCATTTACGTGTACATTGTCAGAGTGATCACTTATATCTATGTACATTGTCAGAGTTAATTTAAACTGTCAAAATCCAAGATGGTCGATGGTTGGCCATATTGTTTTCCCTGATAAGTCACGAAAGTAAATACGCACATATATAGATCAAAGGAAACTTAAATATTAAATTTGAGAAAGATTCCTCCAGTTCTTTCCTGGAATTACCTCAAACAAACTTCTCAAATTTCAAGATTTGGCCACCTGTCAGCCATCTTGGTTTCCTGGTCACAATCAAAATTTGATATACGCAACATGGGACCATTAGTAACCTTGACATGAAATTTGAGAAAGACCTGTGAAGTACTCCCCGAGAAATAGCAGTAACAAAAAGGATGGGCAGACAAATGGATGGGTGGGTGGACGCTACACAACCACATATCGGCTCACTTGGCCCTTCAGTTTGGAGCCAGGTGAGCTAAAATATTCAATAATGCTTTCTTCTTCACTGTATATATATATGCAATAAACATATTCAACACATACTTTTATGTGTAGTAATAAAGGTTTGATATAATTGGGGGGATACCTATCTCATATAACACAAGCATTTAATTTGCATCTCTGGTAAAAACTGAACATAATGAATCAATGTTAATTACTAGGTATGATTGCCAAAGTGAAGCATTAGGGAAATGCTTATCAGTTCTTTTTCATGGTGAATTAAAGTCATTACTTGGTGGAGAGTTAAGTGATTGTAGGATTGATCTATAATGGACACTGTAATGGAGGAAGTGTTCACACTCAATATCTATTAACGCTAGCTAGCTAGCCCACCACGTTATCGACTCTCTACAGCACCAACGTGTCACTGGACTTCTCTCAGCTAGATCACCAACATGTCAGCATTCACAGAAAGGCAATGCAATACTACACAGGACCAGCTGTATGACCTTGGTTCAATGTTGTATTCTGAAATCTGACATTGAGTAACCACATGATCTTGATAAACATCATTGATATTATGACAGAAATGTCTACTAGATGTCATAAAGCCTCCCACCACTAAATCAGCCAATCAGCAAGTGTTTCATACGATTGTAAACCTAAAAGGACAGGTGCCAACTTTGAGGCTTCAGTGGGCCATAACGTATAAGTATTATTTTTTTCATGGAAACACATTCTAGTGTTATATTAAGTCATCATGAAATGGCATTTCGCTTTTGTATCAATCAGTCCCTGCATAGAAAAATGAAAGGGTGAGGCTAGAGAAGATGTGAAATAGGATTTTTGTTTATGTTTAGGTTATTTTTGTTAAGGTTATTTTTGTTTATGTTTAGGTTATTTTTGTTTAGGTGATTTGGTGATTTGTGTTTAGGTTATTTTTGTTTTGATTTTTGTTTAGATGATTTGGTGGTTTTTGTTTAGGTGATTTTTGTTATTTTTGTTTAGGTGATTTTGGTAATTTTTGTTTATATGATTTTTGTTTAGGTGATTTTTGTGTTTAGGTGATTTTTGTTTATGTTTAGGTAATTTTTGTTTATGTTTAGGTGATTTTTGTTTAGATGATTTTTGTTTAGGTTTGTTAAGGTGATTTTTGTTTATGTTAAGGTGATTTTTGTTTAGGTGATTTTTGTTTAGGTAATTTTTGTTTATGTAAAGGTGATTTTTGTTTAGATGATTTTTGTTTAGGTTTGTTTAGGTGATTTTTGTTTATGTTAAGGTGATTTTTGTTTAGGTGATTTTTGTTTATGTGATTTTTGTTTTTGTTTAGGTCATTTTTGTTTAGGTTATTTTTGTTTATGTTTAGGTGATTTTTGTTTAAGGTAAGGTGATTTTTGTTTATATGATTTTTGTTTATGTTTAGGTTATCTTTGTTTAGGTGATTTTTGTTTTTCTTTAGGTGATTTTTGTTTATGTTAAGGGGATTTTTGTTTAGATGATTTTTGTTTAGGTGATTTTTGTTTAGGTGATTTTTGTTAAGGTTTTAGGTAATTTTGTTTAGGTAATTTTTGGTTATGTTTAGGTGATTTTTGTTTAGGTGATTTTTGTTAAGGTGATTTTGGTTTTTGTTTAGGTAATTTTTGTTTATGTTTAGGTTAGGTGATTTTTGTTTTTGTTTAGGTGGTTTTTGTTTATGTTAAGGTGATTTTTGTTTAGATGATTTTTGTTTAGGTGATTTTTGTTTAGGTTATTTTTGTTTTTGTCTAGGTGATTTTTGTTTAGGTGATTTTTGTTTAGGTAATTTTTGTTTATGTTTAGGTGATTTTTGTTTATGTTAAGGTGATTTTTGTTTAGGTAATTTTTGTTTATGTTTATGTGATTTTTGTTTATGTTTAGGTGATTTTTGTTCATGTTTAGGTGATTTTTGTTTATGTTAAGGTGATTTTTGTTTAGATGATTTTTGTTGATGTTTAGGTGATTTTTGTTTAGGTTATTTTTGTTTATGTTTAGGTGATTTTTGTTTACGTTAAGGTGATTTTTGTTCAGATGATTTTTGTTTAGGTGATTTTTTTTAGGTTATTTTTGTTTTTGTTAAGGTTATTTTTGTTTATGTTTAGGTTATTTTTGTTTAGGTGATTTTTGTTTATGTTTAGGTTATTTTTGTTTATGTTAAGGTGATTTTTGTTTAGATGAATTTTGTTAAGGTGATTTTTGTTTAGGTTATTTTTGTTTATGTTTAGGTTATTTTTGTTTAGGTGATTTTTGTTTATGTTTAGGTGATTTTTTGTTTATGTTTAGGTGATTTTTGTTTATGTTAAGGTGATTTTTGTTTAGGTTATTTTTGTTTTTGTCTAGGTGATTTTTGTTAAGGTGATTTTTGTTTAGGTGATTTTTGTTTTTGTTTAGGTGATTTTTGTTTATGTTAAGGTGATTTTTGTTTAGATGAATTTTGTTAAGGTGATTTTTGTTTAGGTTATTTTTGTTTATGTTTAGGTTATTTTTGTTTAGGTGATTTTTGTTTATGTTTAGGTGATTTTTTGTTTATGTTTAGGTGATTTTTGTTTATGTTAAGGTGATTTTTGTTTAGGTTATTTTTGTTTTTGTCTAGGTGATTTTTGTTAAGGTGATTTTTGTTTAGGTGATTTTTGTTTTTGTTTAGGTTATTTTTGTTTAGGTGATTTTTGTTTATGTTTAGGTGATTTTTGTTTAGGTGATTTTTGTTTATGTTTAGGTAATTTTTGTTTATGTTTAGGTGATTTTTGTTTATGTTAAGGTGATTTTTGTTTAGATGAATTTTGTTTAGGTTATTTTTGTTTAGGTAAAGGTGATTTTTGTTTAGATGATTTTTGTTTAGGTGATTTTTGTTTTTGTTTAGGTTATTTTTGTTTATGTTAAGGTGATTTTTGTTTAGATGAAGTTTGTTTAGGTTATTTTTGTTTAGGTGAAGGTGATTTTTGTTTAGATGATTTTTGTTTAGGTGATTTTTGTTTAGGTTATTTTCGTTTTTGTTAAGGTGATTTTTGTTTAGGTGATTTTTGTTTATGTTTAGGTTATTTTTGTTTAAGTTATTTTTGTTTATGTTTAGGTGATTTTTGTTTATGTTAAGGTGATTTTTGTTTAGATGATTTTTGTTAAGGTGATTTTTGTTTAGGTTATTTTTGTTTTTGTTTAGGTGATTTTTGTTTAGGTTATTTTTGTTTATGTTTAGGTGATTTTTGTTTATGTTAAGGTGGTTTTTGTTTAGATGATTTTTGTTTAGGTTATTTTTGTTTAGGTTATTTTTGTTTTTGTTTAGGTTATTTTTGTTTAGGTGGTGATTTTTGTTTATGTTTAGGTGATTTTTGTTTAGGTGATTTTTGTTTATGTTTAGGTGATTTTTGTTTATGTTAAGGTGATTTTTGTTTAGGTGATTTTTGTTTAGGTGATTTTTGTTTTTGTTTAGGTAATTTTTGTTTAGGTGATTTTTGTTTAGGTGATTTTTGTTGATGTTTAGGTGATTTTTGTTTAGGTTATTTTTGTTTATGTTTGGGTGATTTTTGTTTATGTTAAGGTGATTTTTGTTTAGGTGATTTTTGTTTAGGTGATTTTTGTGTATGTTTAGGTGATTTTTGTTTAGGTTTGTTTAGGTGATTTTTGTTTAGGTTTGTTTAGGTGATTTTTGTTTTTGTTTAGGTGATTTTTTTGTGATTTGAATGTACCAAGATATTATACCAATATTATAAATACCGTACCTGTATTTAACATTAAATGCATATTTTATTTTTTATTCATTTTTCCAGTTTCCAACCTGAAGGCAGTCAGATTCCCAATGTAGTACATAAAGATGAGAGAGAAAAAAAGGGCCCAAATACAATCTTAAGAACTACCGCCCAATTTCTCTCACTTGCATCTTCTGTAAGCTCCTTGAGCATTTTGTTGTTAAACACATTATTACACATGCAGAACAAAACAATATTTTCTAGTCACCAACATGGTTTTCGAAGAGGCCGCTCCTGTGAGTCTCAGCTTTTGGAATTTACTGATGACATTTCTGCTAATCTTGAATCTGGTAAACAAACTGACGTATTAGTCATGGACTTTTCTAATGCTTTTGATAAGGTCACACACTCACTACTGTTACACAAACTCAAACATTACGGCATAACTGGTCTCTTACACAACTGGATCAAAATTTTCTTTACAATAGAACTTAGCATTATGGGAAACATCTTGGAAAATGGCATTCCATCCAGATAAATGCAATGTAATATCCATCACAAAGAATAAAAAAGCAGTCAAACATAAATACACATTGCATGGCCATACCCTACAACACACTGAAAAAAACAAATACTTGGGCGTTACAATCAGCCAAGATTTTAAATGGGAACCCCATATACATAACATATGCAATAAAGCCAGTTCCACCTTAGGAATCTCAACATCAGTTCCAAGACAGTCAAGGAGCAGGCATACAAATCTCTCTAGAGTATGCCTGCACTGTCTGGGATCCCTAAATACAACAGGACATATAGATGCCATTGAAAGAGCCCAAAGACGAGCAGCTAGATAAACCACCAATAGCTACAGGAACACCTCTAGTGTCACTGACATGCTCCACCATCTTGAGTGGGAGCCATTATCCCTCAGGAGAAAAAACGCTTGTCTCACAAAGCTGTATAAAATAATTAACAACCAGGTTGCAATTCCACACTCAAACCGTTTAATACCACACAACAGGCAAACAAGACATAACAATTCCAACAGTTTCCAAATCCCACAGTGCAGAAATATATCAGAATACAGATAAAAGAATGGAACACCCTACCAGATTCAGTCATCACATCCATCACAGTGGACTCTTTCAAAACAGATTTGTTTTATTTATTTTAAAAAAAGGTCCTAAATCCTACCAGAAGACACAACATATGTTATGCCGTGACAGCGCGAAAATGAAATGATTAATTCTAACGTGCTCAGGGTACATAAGGTCCTGACAGCGAACATGAGACCATGTACCCTGCCAAAGACCTGTATAACTAATAATATAACTTTTCCCTTCTTATATCTCTTTTGGTCAAAATATCTGAAGGCTTTAACTGTGTTGAAGACTTTGGTGAGGTTATTTACGTCACATCTTATTATTATGACATCATATGACATTTTCGTCACAGGGTGGCGAATTTGGGTGCGTGGCGAATTTTGGTGCATTGCGAAATTGCCTGCACTAACGTTAATGTTAGGTGTGAAAGTTGTGAATGGCTGGGCCAGCCGATTTCGCGGTGCATGGCTTGGTGTCTTGCTCACCGATGTGTGAACTGTTAAGCAATTAAATCATGGATCCCAAATCCATTGCGGTCTAGCTATATATATAGTTGCTAATTAATACATGATGACAGTGGGTATAAACATTAAACAGCCATATAACAGCTGTTAGTTCATTAGTTCATGGTTTATCGAAACGGAAATGCAAGTCATGACTATAAAATCAAAACATTAACACAAGAAAGCAAATTTCTTCACAATTAGATATATAAAAATAATAGTAGTTTTTTTGGTTTTTTTTCAACAAATGAATATTAGATATTTGCAATATCCAGGCCTTTCAGTGAGAAGTAAACATGTATGTACAGCACTACCCTGTTGACTGACAACACATAGTCTGAATTTGCACATAACCCATTCTTGTCTTTGAACTAACACAATACATCGCTAGCTAGATTTTAATATAACTTAACTTTCGATCCATGTGCGACATGTGTGTGAAAGTGATGATTTGTTTCTAAAATATCAGTTAGAAGTGCGCTCCGGGCGCGGGTCGCATATTTCCCGCATATTATAGAGGGCCGGAGTTCGGACGTTAATCGACACCAGACTGGTATTAAAAAAGTCGATAAAACGTCAGAATAATTCGGACTAGCTAGATTTATAAGTATCATGATATATACTTCTAAACAGAGATCTGTTCACAGTTGGGTTTGAATAAAAACGAACAGGTTCAATTAGAGCATACACACACAGAGATGGTGCCGCAGGGAGAATTTTAACCCGCAGAAAGTATGATATCAATTAAGGTTTAAACATAAAATAGATTGCTTATCTATAACGATGACTGAGATGTTGTTTGGAAGATGCTTTTGATTCAGAATAAATTCCTGTACTTGAAGCGAGAATTTACCTTCTCCCCTCGGCTGTAAAGACATTTTCTTTGCTAGAATTTCGCTGACAGCAACCTCTAAAATGTACGGTTGTACAGTTAAGGATTTCTTCATTACCAATTAAAAACGCCAAGGAAACATTGTCTCTTGTCAATTTCTCGACACGAATTGTCATAAAGAATTTTGTGACAGGATCATAAAAAAACTTACTTCACTAAATTGTCCCTTTAAATTAACATTTTAAAACTTAGTCAACTTAGTACCAGTAAATGGACAGTGTAAACACTTGAAGGATGTACTCTTCTGAGGTTTCAGTCACGTTCAAGTCTCGTTTTGATCTGGTGTAACGAGTTTTTGTAATATTTAACAAATTATGATAGTTTAATAGCAAACACACATCTGAAAAATATGTCAAAAAACTAGATGTCTGTTGTGTGAAGAACATTTTTTACAAGAATTTGAAAAAAATGACCAATTTGGTGGCCAGTTTGAAAAAGTGAATTTCTTGCGCTTCACAAAGGTAAATATTTCACCTTTTTTTACACTAGATTGATCACTTAAATTGTCATTGTGTCACCATTTTTAAATGTAGCAGGTTCAATTTTGTTGTACAACTTTATAATGTTCAATATGATTAAAATAATATGCAAAAAAGTGGAAAGTTATATATTATTGGTATTTTTTTCACATATTAGGGTAACTGAAGCACTTTTTATTTTTGACCCCGAAAAAGGTGAAAAATTACACAAATAATAATGGGACAAAAAAAGAAGCACACTGACCCACCCCCCCATTTTTGTGGCTGTTTTAGAAAGAGAAACACATTTTCTTTTGATTCATTGAATATTAAAAAAAGTTTAATACAGGATTTTTTATATCAAGCGTTTAATCTTCAAAAAATGGTGAAAAAATGTGCATTTTTTCATTAAAAAAAGGGATGGGGTAACTTATATCGCATTTCTGAGTAAAATGAATAAAATTAAGAATTTTTTTACTTCCATAATTTAAAAGAAAATAATATTTTTATCAATTTTACAAACATTCATACATATCTGATAACACACTTGGAAGAAATTGTATGAATTTGTTCTGAAAATGGTCAAAACCCGAAAATTCACCTATTGTGTTAAATTGGTATCTTTGACCGATCATAGCACAAAAACGAACACACGGACATTTTTATTTTTTTTTGCATTTTCTACTATGCCATTATCTCCTTTTTCCAAAAATCAATATAAGAAAAAAAGTTTAATACAGGAATTTTTTGACTGCTCAGAGGTGTACATCCTTAACATAGACCAATGTCTCGAACATAGTAAATGTCATTAGTGATCATATACCGTGATTCATTACACGCCGTGGGTATGTATCCGAATAATCTATCACTGTCGTATGCCCAGGTAAAGTCGTGTTATTGACAGACGATGGCACGGTGATGTTTTACGAGCAGCTGTCTTAAAATCACGCATTATATGTACATAGAAATGTTAAAATTACCTTTTGAGACTTGGACGCTGAAAACGAAGCACAAAGAAGCACCAAAACAACGGTCAATCCCACGATTACATTCGCCATGCTGAACGTGAGAGTCCACAATAACACACTTCCGCCTGTAGCAGCACTGACAGGTCTGACCGTCTACAAGAGGTTCCCTTTCGATCACATCAACTAAATATAGAACGCACATTCTTATTGGTTACCTTCGTTTACTTTATCCAATAAAAATAGACATACTCCCAGTGATGACTATAGTCTGTTTCTTCTTTGTCTCACTGGAATCTTGGTGCTGACTGGGACCGTCGCTGCATTTCATGGCGCTTTCCTAAGTTACACTTGTTTTAGAAAACATCTATAGTGAATTGCATCAATATATGACTAACATTTAGCATGGGAAAGTAAAAACACCAAAATACCAGGAAAAAGGAGTATGTTTATTGTTTTTATAACGTAGATTTTTAATGTAACAGTTACCTCCCTTTGATCATGTAGCTCTAGTAGCTTACAGGTTCAGAGTATGCAAATACGCGTCAAATTAAAAATATCGAGTTTATTTTCCTTCTCCACGGAATCAAAATAACCTGGTTCAGACATGTACATACAAGATGAGTACAATAAATCTAAAGTATTTCATGTTTGTATAGGTTACACCTTATACCAGGTTTTTTATAAAGCCGCCGGGGCATTCTGATCTTGAATGGTAAATCAATGGTTTTATTTCTTAGTCAAAAAAATAATATGCATGTTTTCTTTTTTCTACCTGAAAAAAATAGGGTAGGAAGGTAGGGATATTTTTATGTTTGCTAGATTAGTGAATGAGTTAGTGTCGCAAGTGGGTGCTATTATACTATTGTGAGATGCTGATCAGAACCTTTGGCAGAACATCTTTGCTGGGTTGTTTTTTTGATTTTTTTTTTAGTCTTCTCTGTTTGTTCCTCAATTTCATTCTTTGGATGATAATCAGATATCCTTAGCGTGGATGTTGTATTTTAATATCAAGTAATGCATGTATGTTAATTGTTTAATACAGATCTATAAAACATTGAGTCATCACTTTCCAGTATGTTGGGAGGGGAACAATCCTGGAAGCTGGGAATATATGTCCCATGTTATTTGTATCATTTTTCAGATATCATGTTTTCCGTTTTTGTTGTCTCACTATTTATTGTCTTTGTTGTCTCCTTATTTTTTGTATTTGTCTGATGTCCACTTTTAATTTTCGGTAGCGTAGTTGCCTTAGGCTCGAGTAGGCACGTGCCCACACATAATTTCGTCAATTGATTGTTTTTAGTCAGTGCAAATTAAAAAATAAATTGCAGTCATAATTATCTTGTAATACACGTTAGTGCAATACAACTTTCAAGCTTAAAGTAAACGAACACAACGATGAACAAGTTTGTAGTCAATTCTAAATATCAAAACTTTTGAGACTCAGTCAGATGATCCTCGTCGCAGTGACACTGTCTCGTCACCGGCCCCGGATGCTTCTCAAAGTGATGCGTCATTCTTGATTTGGCACGCATAGGATATATGTTTATGTACTGAACTCTAGGGCAAAACGATATTAGCCGCTTGAAAAAAACCCACCAAAGTCTCTATTTCCTGACCCCGATGTGCAAACCAAATAGTCAACAATCTGTATGATCGACATGTATTTGTGTCTGCAGACAAAGAATCTAATAATTTAATCTTTGTTTGCAAACACTTTCACATTGTCTGCTTGCAAAATACAACCATGCATACTTGATCACCAAGGTTACCCTACCTATACACTTACCAAATTTTCGGAAGACGAAATACTAGCTAATCACGCTTCTGTATTACAATCGCTCTTCCATGCCATTATGCAAAATTGTTAAACCATTCTTTGCAGTTAAATTTGGAATTTGAGGAATTAAAAAGATCTTTTGACCAATCTTGAACATCCTCTTCTCAAAAACGTTTTTTACTTCAGAATTCACCAAAGTTTAACTGTTCGACCCTTTACGATACCATTCCTGTACCAATCAGAAGGAACCCTTCTTTTTCTTATTACGAGAGCTTTCTTTTCTAAGACGGCTAACAACGATATAAACGTGTGGTTGTGAATTAACTCAGAGCATCAGAGGATGGATGTGGGAGAATTATTGAGTGCCTTTTTGGAAATATCTTTGTTAAATTTGGTGGCAAAGACTTTCCATGAGTAAGCAGATTGTAGGCATTCCTATGGGAAAAACTGTACCCTTCCTCTGGTCGACATTTGTTTATATTTCATACGAGGCTAAACTTATTGATGAGTGATCATGACAAAAAAAGCCAGACACGTCCTTATGTGATCTCTTTAAATAACAAAACAAATTGACCACATCGATCATATATTCCCTCCCGAGCTTGAAATTAATTACACTACCTCCGTCGCTTTCCTCGATCTTTGCTCATAACGGAACCTCTTACAACCACACTCTACGATAGAAACGGTGATTTTGATTTTCCGATCATGAACCTTCCTTTTCACGAAAGTAACATCCATGATTTCCCATGTTACAGTTGATTTGGTCGGTATTCATCACGTACATTGATCCAAATAGCATAAATTCACGACTTCATCATGATATCAGAGTTGTCGGCTGCCGACGGGCAAACTTACAACACAGGGTTTACAAAAGCGTCATCATGTTCTAATAGGGAAATATGCTATTTCTTTGTGTGGTATGAAGGTCGATATTTTTGATTATGCTCATTAGTGTGACTCTGCCTTAGTTCTCATTTTGAGGACGTAACATAACTTGGATTCGACCCAGATTTCATTGTCGATAAAGCTGAAGACGCTTGCCCTTCCGGATCTTTTTCTCCTTATATTGCTCAATGGTCTACATGCGTTTGTTCATATTTTGTCCTTGTTTTTTATCGATTTTGAGTTTACACTGTGATTTAGAGTTGACACTGTGATTTTGTCTCCCCTGACCTGCACGTTACTATTGTCTCCCCTGGCCTGTACGTTACTGTTGTCTCCCCTGGCCTGTACGTCACTGTTATCTCCCCTAACCTGTACGTCACTTGCGTCTCCCCTGGCCTGTATGTTACTGTTGTCTCCCCTGGCCTGTACGTTATTTTTGTCTCCCCTGGCCTGTATGTTACTGTTGTCTCCCCTGGCCTGTACGTTACTGTTGTCTCCCCTGACCTGCATGTTACTGTTGTCTCCCCTGGCCTGTACGTTACTGTTGTCTTCCCTGACCTGTACGTCACTGTTGTCTCCCCTGGCCTGTACGTTACTGTTGTCTCCCCTGACCTGCACGTTACTGTTGTCTCCCCTGACCTGTATGTTACTGTTGTCTCCCCTGGCCTGTACGTTACTGTTGTCTTCCCTGACCTGTACGTCACTGTTGTCTCCCCTGGCCTGTACGTCACTGTTGTCTCCCCTGGCCTGTACGTTACTGTTGTCCCCCCTGGCCTATACGTTACTGTTGTCTCCCCTGACCTGTACGTCACTGTTGTCTCCCCTGGCCTGTATGTTACTGTTGTCCCCCCTAGCCTGTACGTTACTGTTGTCTCCCCTGGCCTGTACGTTACTGTTGTCTTCCCTGGCTTATACGTCACTGTTGTCTCCCCTGGCCTGCACGTCACTGTTGTCTCCCCTGGCCTGTACCTCACTGTTGTCTCCCCTGGCCTGTATGTAACTGTTGTCTCCTCTGGCCTATACGTCACTGTTGTCTCCCCTGGCCTGTATGTTACTGTTGTCTCCCCTGACCTGCATGCTACTTTTGTCTCCCCTGACCTGTACGTCACTGTTGTCTCCCCTGACCTGTACGTCACTGTTGTCTCCCCTGACCTGTACGTCATTGTTGTCTCCCCTGACCTGTACGTCACTGTTGTCTCCCCTGACCTGTACGTTACTGTTGTCTCCCCTGACCTGCATGTTACTTTTGTCTCCCCTGACCTGTACGTCAATGTTGTCTCCCCTGGCCTGTACGTTACTGTTGTCTCCCCTGGCATGTATGTTACTGTTGTCTCCCCTGGCTTGTACAATACTGTTGTCTCCCCTAGCCTGTACGTTATTGTTATCTCCCCTGCCAAACGGTATTCATTAAATCAAGTACAATTAACTAAACAGACATATACACTGATTTCAATGTTTTCAGGTTTTAAAATCTATTCATCTTTAATATAGCGCGCAGTCAGGCTTTGGATGTGTTTTTTCAAATACGTATATGTTAAAAGAAATGGATCTGTAAAAAAACGGATTGATGAGATTTTCCTGACCTTTATAAAGACTGCTAGAAGGGGATAAAAGTATATCTTCAAAAGGAAGCAAGTTGTGATTAAGTGATAATCTCTTGAGCAGACCATATACGAAAGGACGTGATTTTTAAACTATTGTAAAGGTTACAGAGTACCAGCGTAATGTGTTTATCTTTGACAGGAAAGAGATTCAGTTTTTGAATATGTTTGCTGGCATCATCTTCCATGCACAAATAATATAGCAATTAATTACACTCAATACAACTTTTGGCCAGGTGATGTGAAATAATCCACCACCGTTAATTCATATTTTTGCGCAGAACGAGCATCTCTGTCACAGGGATTCTATACCTGCAGCTTTTGATTAAAGAGCAAGGAGCTCATCCAGTCATGTCGCATATTACTCTAATACTTTACTACAACATTAAATGAATAATTAAAAATTATTTTTGCTACAAAATGCCTCGAAAAGAATAGTTTCTTCATATTAATAATGAAGAGCAAATAACCTAGAATAAAGTAACAAAATAACTTTAAATTACGTTATATAAAATGTCACAGGGATGCTTTAGGGCTCATAACTGCTTTTCACTTTTAATCTACAGATGTATCACTCTATTAGCAGTGCCTTGTAAAGTCTACTGTGCTATTCTTGATACTTACAAAATAATCTGGGTGACTCTAGGTGCCAAAACGTTGGAAGCTAACTAAATCTAAATTATTGTTGAATCAGAAGGGAAGGTACATAAAACCCCTAATTCATTAATTATTTACTCGCAATCAGTGACGCCAATTATACACTGGTTACCTACTTCTGACGCTGTGAAAAAAGATAGAAAAAACCTGAATTAAAATATTCAAATTACTCATTTAAATATGAGGTAAAAAATGGACAGGGTGGGGTTTGATAATTTTTGTTGTGTATCTTTCCCACCCTTTGAGACACTTACTTATAAGGAAATTGTGGAAATCGAAAACCTGGGTGTAAACTCATTTGCATATGTGTTGCTTTGCATCAAATAAAATTCTGTATAATTAACAAATGGAAAAGAAGGCACAAATATTTAGTTTAAGAAATCACAAACTTCACTGCTCTGTTTTAGTGCTTAACCTGAAATGTCGTTAGAGTTCTAAATTAAGAAAGTTTTGATGAAACATTTTCACACCTGCGAATGTTAGGTGTACGTTACTGTTGTCTCACCTAGCCTGTACATTATTGTTATTTCCCCTACCCAATGGTTATTGTTTGAGTTTTTGAAATGTTTGACAACTGTGACTTGGACAATAGGTCAACATCATTTTCATTTTAAAATTTTGTCGGTTTCCATCCCATTAGGCTACCAGCCTTATATTGTCACTCCATGTTTTGAACTTCTTAAAGTTTTTCGAACTTATGACATATCTGATCCGTGACCTTGGAAGAACATCAAGGCCATTTTCATTCACAAACTTTGTCAGGTTCCATTCCAGGAAACTACCAGCCAATAATCCTGAATCTGTTCTTTTTGGTTCTTCAGAGGAAGTTGTTTGAAGTTTTTGACATATTAGACTCCTGTGACCTTAAAATTACGTCAACAGCACTCTCATTTGCAAAATTTGGCAGGCTCCATCTCATTCTCAGGAAACTACCAGCCAATTTCATAACTCAATGCCTTTCAGTTCTTCAAAAGTCATTAAAAGTTTTTGGCGTTTTTGACCCCTGTGGCCTTGAAAAGGAGGTAATTTTGACTTGCAAAATTTGCCAGGCTCTATCCAAGGAAGCTACCAGCAAAATATCATGACCCTTGGCCTTTATATTCTTCATCAGAAGTTGTTTTAAGGAAAAGTTGATGGACGATGGACCGACACCATGCCACAGCATAAGCACTTGCTCTTTGGGAAGGTGAGAAAAAGATTCTAACGTTAGTACAGGCAAATTCATCACATTACTGAGGGTTTCAGTTAATAATTCGTCACATTACTGAGGGTTTCAGTTAATAATTTGTCACATTACTGAGGGTTTCAGTTAATAATTCGTCACATTACTGAGGGTTTCAGTTAATAATTTGTCACATTACTGAGGGTTTCAGTTAATAATTTGTCACATTACTGAGGGTTTCAGTTAATAATTTGTCACATTACTGAGGGTTTCAGTTAACAATTTGTCTTATTATTTTTTCATATTATTCCCGACAAGTGATTGGCCAGAAGTGAATCACGTGTCAACCGATAAAAACTGATATTGACTTGGGGCGTGTGATTTTTAGGTCACCTGAGCTTTGCTCAAGTGACCTATTCCAATCGCTTTTCGTCCGTCGTCGTGCGTCGTGCGTAAACTTTTACATTTTCAACTTCTTCTCAAGAACCAGTGGATGGATTTTTTTCAAACTTGGTCAGAATCATCCTTGGTAGATGAGGCTTCAAAATTGTAAAATTGGGATTCCTACCCCAACCCCTGGGGCCAGGGCGGGGCCCCAAAGGGAAAATTAATCAATATTTCAAAAATCTTCTTCTCCAGACTCAGAGGTACTACAGTGATTTTCTCTACGTGGAAAGAAAGATCATCAGGGGCTTTACTTAAATTGTAAATTTCAGGACCCCCGAGCTATCCGTTCTCCCTTGGGGAGGGGGTAAAGTTTACTATAGTTTATATAGGGAAATAACACTTTTGGGTATATTTTGACAACTTTCTGTAGGAAATTATTTTTACTTGGTGAGAATTATCCTTGGAGGTAGATGGTTTCAAATTGTAAAATTGAGATTCCTACCCCGACCCCTGGGGCCAGGGCGGGGCCCCAAAGGGAAAATTAATCAATATTTCAAAAATCTTCTTCTCCAGACTCAGAGGTACTACAGTGATTTTCTTTACGTGGAAAGAAAGATCATCAGGGGCTTTATTTAAATTGAAAATATCAGGACCCCGAGCTATCCGTTCTCCCTTGGGGAGGGGTTAACGTTTAATATAGTTTATATAGGGAAATAACACTTTTCGGTATATATTTTATCCATTTTCAGCAGAAAATTGCTCAAACTTAGTCAGAATCATCTTGGGTAAATGAGAGTTTTACTTTGTAAAATTAGGATTCCTGCCCCATCCCCAGGGGCTAGGGCGGGGCCCCAAAGGGAACATTTACCAATATTTTCAAATTCTTATCCATTGATGACATGACAAGTATTGTATTTCACTTAGTTTACATGCTGATTTCCACATCACATCTAAACAATAAAATAAAGCTACCAGTATCTATGATATAACTCAGGTGACCGCTAAGGCCCTTGGGCCTCTTGTTATTGAAGGACTGGGTGTTTCTAAAAATAGAATAATGACGTGTCGCCAAACAAACTTATTGTCCAGCTTCCGTAGCTTTTTGCTGTGTTTTTTCAGATTGCTAACATTACTGTTTTGAAAATAATAAAACAATTGTAGCCTTTGACTTCGGTCAATACCTGGATTTATTGACCAGAGAAAAGATATATTGACCTCGGACTGCGTCCTCTGTCAATATATTTTTTCTTGGGGTGATAAATCCAGGTATCGACCTCAGCCGTAGGCTATAATTGAATAACATTACTGAGGGTTTCAGTTAATAATTTGTCACATTACTAAGGGTTTCAGTTAATAATTTTTCAAAATAAACATGTATCAAAATGCCAAGGAGCACCATTACAGAAGATTTGACTGAAAAGCCTATAAATAAACATTGTTGTAAACACGCCTGACCTCATGCCTGACAAGTCACCCGGCCACATTTGTGATGTCATCAGGCCTTCCGTAGTTTTGCTAAAAGGTGCAGGCAGTTATGCCACCTTAAATTTCAATAATTTGTAAGTAGTGTAAGTGTTTAAACGCAAAATTTTGTATGTTGGTGTTACCAAAGTTGTAATGATATGAACAGCTCCAAATATGTGTGTGTAACAATGAATAACATTGAAATAGCTTTTCTTAGTTGTGATAGTTATTTTTCGGAAACTTGAAGAAACTGATTAATAGTGTTTTAAGTAAGATGCATGGGATCGGCTGTGATGAGGTCAATTTACATGAATCGCAATGAAGACTCAGTCCTGAACAAATATAAGCGATCAAATTGGTTCCAAAAATTATTGTCTTGTACGTCAACGGAAACATCTGACAAATCAAAACGGATATTTGGCCTGAAAACTTATTCAATAGAGACTGTCCCAGCTGTTGTAAATGTACTTACTTTTCATGTAAAAAACAGTCTTTGGTAACAACGTGTTGTTAGATGGCTGAATGTTTAATGCAAACATTACGTTTAAAAAGATACTAGTTATTCACAATGCATGAACATGGGAAAAAAATGATCAAATCTTTCCGAGCGTCATTTCCATCAACAAACATTGGGTCATCAATACATTGTATATACGAAAGTACATTTGTAGAATCATAATCTAGTTGCATTGATAGCTCAGTCGACCATAAAACTGCAGTTACAGTTGAGGTGTCGGCATTTTCAGTGGACAAGATGTACGTTGCACAGACCTTATTTTTAAGATTTGGTATGTTGCAAAATATTTTATAACTGTTTAAATTAATAATATAACATTTTCCTTCATATACCTCTTACTTGAAGGCTTTAACTGTGTTTAAAAATGGGGTTAGGGTTATTGGTGATGACGTCAAATGGCATTTTCGTCACAGGGTGTCGAATTTGGGTGCATGGTGAATTTGCCTGCACCAACGTTAAAGGTTCACCTATTATTCTCAGCCCTTCTGTCTAAGTGGGGACCACACTTTCTGTTAATAAAACATTGAACCCCCTTAGGCCAAAGATGCTATGGACCATATTCGGTTTTAATTCATTTACCTGTATGAAACAAAAGGATTTTAAAGATTTATCCCTTTTTTCCCCATCACATCCCACTCTTTGTTTTTCAAAGGGGCCACACTCAAATTGAGTCCCTTTTGACCAAGGATGCTCTAGACCACATTTGGTTTAAATCCATTCATTGGTAAAGAAGAAGGTTTTTAAAACCTTTATCCTATGTTCCAATTCTTCTTCAAGCCTTCTGTGCCAAGGGAAGGCCACACCCTTCATTTACATAAAACTGCATCCCATTTCCCCAAGGATTCTTCAGGCCATATTTAGTTAAATTCAATAGCGCCACTCAGAACTGATAGATTTGACAGAAGACAACGGACACCATACCATGACATGAGTTTACTGGTCCAACAGACCAGGTGAGCTACAAAATAGCACAGGAATAATTGTTTTGCAGTTCTAATTGGACATGGTAAGTATTACTTTTTATTTAAAAAGAAGTTTCACATAAATCTTGACAGAGGACTCATAAAATAGAAATAATTACAATGTTTTTTATTGTCTAGGAAGTCTTCAATGTACACAAACTACAAAACATATTTTTACATAACATCTTAATGGATTAGATATCACTAAAATATAAATCATTTTAGTCCTCTCTGGCCTGAAAATGCTTTTGGAACTAAAATTTGATGAAGGAATGTATCATATTTACAGAAAATTATAAGGCACATTTCTTTGGCTTTCAGGTAAGTCATTTTTCTTTTAAAGTGATGGAACTTGAGGATTTAATTTTCTGATACCCTAGTTCATGAAAGCAATTTGAGTAGCCATGTGTTTTATTTGTTTTCCTTAATTCTCGGACATTATTCGAACAAAGTGCAGAATTAAAATGATGCTTTCACACAAATCATTGAGGGAGGACCTACCTTCAATGGCGTTATTTAAAGCAATACAAAACAATCAATGTATGTGAAATCTAAAACTTCATTTGACCTGTTTTTACCTATTACCAACATAACTTATACATCTGAACTGTAAATAACACCCTGTCAAAAAGGGTTAATGTTGAAATAAACACAAAGCAATCTTTATTTTCATTGCACATTAATTCCAATTTTCATATATAATCTAATTAAAAGAGGCCCACTGGCCTTTATCGTTCAACTGGATAATTTGGACAATCATGGCAATAATGTCATTAAATGTAGTATGGCAAATAACATCCTAAGAATAGGGCCAGGCCCAGAGAAATCCCTGGCAGCATTTGTGTATCCAAATATTTAGGCTCAGCTGTTGTACCTGTATTTATACCCAATGATCATCTCAAATGCTTCCAGTGACTCCAGGACTTAGTTACTTTGGACAGGAAGGCAGACCCTGGCAGAATAATTTTGTTTGTCATTTTAAGCCCAACAATTGTATTTATGGTTATGGGGTGGTGATTTGAACTGTTTCCAAGTTATAATAAAGGAATTAAGTCCTTACGGGGGTGGCCAGATCCCAGGGCTCAGTTCCAATACAAACACTGTGTTCTTATCTTTATGCTCAGCGGTTGTAAATGTGGTTATGGGGTGGGGATCTTGACCATTTCAAAATTATGACCAACTGACAAAGTCTATGGGTCCCCAGAGCAATCCATCTTTTATTTCCAGAGAAGGGGATGCTAAACGCAATATGGACAAATTACCTTCTTTTACGCCTGCCAAGGGGGGCCTATATATCACACTTATAACAATAGTGAAATAAGTATTGTCTAAGGACAGACAATGGACCACAGATGAAGGGCGATTAGCCCACCATCATCAGAAATGGTGGGCTAGAATTGTATCCCCTTTGCCAAAGGATGCTCTAGACCATACAGAAGACAACATTGTAAAGTTTTACTTCCATTTACCCTATTGGGCACTGCCCTTCTACCCCAAGGGGAGTTACAACCTCTGTTTATACAAAATTGAGTCTCCTTTGCCCAGGTATGCTTTAGACCAGATTTGGTTAATATGTGACCCTCTGCCCCAAGCCACAACCTCTGTTAACACAACATTCAGTCCCCCTTGCCAAATGATGCTTCAGGTCAAATGAAGTCAAAATCCACAAAGCCATTCAGGACCTTCAGTGTTTTAAATGAAAAAGCTGATGAATAGACGACGGATTACCAACAACACTCCACAGCTTAAGCTCACAGGTTCTAATAAAAGGTGAGAAATGAGTAAGCTTCATTATTAAAGCCATTGCTGTGTTAATATGCATAACTATAGCATAGGTTGATAATTTAATGTATATCTCATGTGACATCTTCCAACTTTATGGGAGAGTTGTTCAAGTTACAGTAGCTCAATTCAACAGAACTTTACAGAGATAAACAATAAGAGGCCAAGAAGGGCCTGTATCGCTCACCTGTTTGTTTTGTTACATAGAGTTGTTGGCTAAATATTGTGAAGTTAGTTTGATGGTATATACAGAAGCAGTTGAAAGTTTACAGTTATTTGACCCTTGTGACCTTGAAAGTATAGGCAGGTTAAGGGCATATTCATGTGCAAATGTTATGGAACTCAAACACAGGTGCTGGTCAGGGAATAGGAATAGTACTTGACACTCTAGGCCTTTCAGATATTCAGAAGAAGTTGTTTGAAGATTTAGACCTACCGGTATTTGACCCTGGTGACCTTGAAAGTAGGCCAATGTCATTTTCATTTGCAAACTTTGTCTGAACTATCCGAGGAAACTACTGGCCAAATATCAAGATATAGGACTTTCGGAACTTCAGAAGAAGTCGTTTAAACAAAAAGTTGACTAACGGATGAACGGACGATGCGCCATGGTTTAAGCTCAATCGCCCTTCGGGCAGGTGAACTTAAAATGAAGGACATTGGTGTCAGTTCCTGGACTTCCATATTACAAGCGCTGCACTCAATCACCAGACCTTATATCATTTCATCCGACTTGATAATTTCATTTCACCCTTAGAGAACAGGACTGATTACCAGTGATACACCAAAACTTACTATGTACATCTGTGTCCCAAGGGTAATGCTTTATGTCTCCACCTCTTGGCCAGACATAACAATCAGCAACTGTGTCTTCTACAAAATGAAATTAATAGAATTTCATACTGTTTAAATAACTATTTAATCCCATCTCATAATTGTTTGTTACATATTATGAAAAAATTGGTAATAAATGGTTTTAATGAGCATGTGGTTGGCCTATAACAGCACTCTGATCATTATGTCATTTTTGTTCCCTCTGTACCTGAGAAAGATGAAATAGGGTGAAAAACATGCACTGATCTAGATGAGCTATATCATATTCATGCAACATTTAAATCCTAAGCAAGCCTGACCTGACCTAAAACATTGCTAACTGATGCTTCCTAGATAGGTTATGCATTGTAATCTATCTAGATTACAATCTATGGTTCAAACCTATGGTTTGAATATCCGACACTTGGGTTGTTTTTACCAATATTTGTTTGCAATGGGAGGTAGAACTTTCACCGATTACTTTACACATGGGAATCCTAAAAGTTACAAGTGGTTTGTGTCCTTAGATAAAGTTTCTACTCATGAAGCTCACACACTATCAATATTTTGCATGTCTGTCAGGACATTTACCCAAAAGGATGTCAAATTGCTCCGTAATTGTTCACTATGGAATTGTAAGATTGTGCTTTCCCTATGTATGTCGAAGTCAATTCACAAATAACACGGTAAGAGGAATATTGTGTCGTTCCAGCGAAGGTTCTCCGTGTTTAACAACCCATTTACTCTCCATTGCTTCTTCATTCCTTTGCAGTTGTTCTGATTTGAATACCATGGTGTTCCACTGCATGAAACCTATGATACGATTCCTCGACAACAATTTCTAAGAAGTTCATTCTGACATGATCTTTGACATTTATTTATCAGATATAATTGTTCTGACATAAATTCATCAAGACTGATTTGCCAAATAGACTTTCTGATATGAATCTTCCACAATTATTCACAAGGTATACGACAAGTTCCTCCACACCCTAGTACAATGTTGTTGTTCTCTAGAGATATAGTCTTGCTGAAGGTCCTAGGGATTATGACTCCTCTCCACGTTGTCACTTGAGTTTGAGACGAATGCATTTGCGTGTCACATTGACTGCTTGAGTATGCGTTGTCTGTGGACTCATCAGGTCAGGTACATCTGTACTAGGAAGTCGCTTCACGTTCCGCTGATAAAAAACAAAGAACCACACATGTTCAGACAATTCTCATTCAAAAGGAATAGTTTTTAAAGTTCTCTATTTTTTTAATATAATAGTGATATGCTGCTGACATTGTACTAGGTCAGAGCGAGACCTTCTAAACTAAACAGCAACTGAAATCTACATACCACCTTCTGCAAAAACTGAGGTTGTCTAATGGCATGTAAAAAATGTTAACTTTATTGTATTCATCAGGTCAGCCATTTTCAAGTCCACTCCTAAACTAAATAGTTTTTCTGGAGTTACCGAAATCTGAAAAATGTGGTTTACATTTGAGGAGGTTTAACATGGGAATGCAAGTGTCCAGCTTCACAAACCTGATTGCTGGCAATATCTGTTGTCCTGTCTCTACCTTCTCCTTCCTTCACACCGTCCATTGGGCTTTCTGCAGCATTCTGTTAAAAACATATATATACTCAATATTTATGAGACAAGGTAATCTATATATATGGCACCAAAATCCATGCATTATTTTTTACTGTTTGCTGACAGTTGTAAAACTGATGCAGCTGGTGAATAAAACCCAGGATTCTTGTAAGACATGTGATTAAACTGTTTCACAATGCTGCTGTGTGATGTAAGCATTGGTTAGTTAAACATATACGCTTACTGTTAATTTGCGGGTATAGTGCGCAGGTATGTTTTTGGGGTCAGATTTGAAGAAAAAAATTGAGAAAGTAACCGGTATCAAACTGGAAAAGTAGCATCAAAAGTATCAGACTTGATTTCTGTGATTTTCATATTCAGGACATCAAAGTTTTGTAAAACTAAAACAAATTTGGTTTAAAAAAAAGTCAAATAGAAAAAAAAGGCTTAAACCCTTTATTTCACCATTAGGGTGAAGCCCCCCTGCCCCGCCTTGAATTTCTCTACCCCAAGACTTGATTTTTGTGAAGAAGATTTTTAAAACTTTAGCCATTTTCCCTATTTCAGTCCCACTCCTCTGTCCCAAGGGATGAGGAAGGGTTTTATTTTCTTACACCATCTAATTGCTATCTCATCATAACTATTCAAACCAACTTTGAACAATTTCCTGCGGAGTATAGACAAAATATACCCAAAAGAGTTATTTCCCTACATAAACTACGGTAACCTTTACCCTCTACCCAAAGGACAGCGAATGACACGGGGTCAATGAAGTTTGTAATTTACTATTAACCTGAGTGATCTCTGCTATGGACAAAATATACCAAAAAGTGTGATTTCCCTTTATTAACTACAGTAAACTTCCCCCTCCCCAAAGGAAGAAAAGATGACCTAGGGGTACTGAAATTTACAATCTAGACAAAGCCCCCGAGGATCTTTCCATCCATTAATAGAAATTAATGACAACGAACAAAAGGTGACTGCAACAGGTGAAGTGAGACTTTGTCTCTAAAAAGAATATCTGTAAAGCTTAAAACCTGTAAGCCCAGTAACTGATATCAAATACCTGATTTGCTGGGGATTCTTCTATAGACTTGGACCTTTTGACTGGACTGTCAGGCCGTACTGGAGAGCCCTCACGTTTTCGACTGGGACTCTGTCCAAATGAGTCAACATGCATTGGAGATCCTAGCACATTCTGTGTAACAGTGTAAATAAGAGAGTTTTATAAATACAAGGTAGCATACACTGTTTATATAAAATTCACTCCTCCTTGCCCAATGATGCTTTGGACCAAATTTGATCCCTCCAATCAAACTAAACGAGAAGGATTTTACCTCAAGTTGCGCTATTGGGCCTTGCCCACTACCCCAAGGGGGTCCACACCCTTCGTTTATACAAAATTTAGTCCAATTTGCCCAATTTTGTTTAAATCCCTTCCATCATACAGAAGAAAAAGGATATTTAAGATTTACCTCAATTTTGAGGTTTTTGATGTTAAAACTAATTTTCATTATGTAATACTAACCATAACTATAGTATGCATAAACAATACCTACACCCATCTTTGTAGCCTTCCCTACCCTCACGTGACCCATATCTCGACAATAGAGAATCAGAGTGATCTCCCTTCCTCAAAAACCTAATTTGGAGCCAAAGACAACCAGGGTGGTGATCCGTATGCCCAGCAATGTATATATGGGTTTGGGTGGGGATCTCAACAGTTTCAAATAACCCAGGAACTAAGTGTCTATGAGTGGGGATAGATCCTGGAACCATCCTGGTAGCATATGTGTATTCATCTCTGACTTATATTCAAGGTCAAACATTTGAACAAATCTGGTAGCCTATCATCCTAGCATGCTATTGGCTTAAACATCTTTACCCTGGGTCTTTTGTTTATTTAGATGCAGTTGTTTAAAGCTATTTGTTTTAAAGTGTGCTGATTATAAGTGGGTTTCCATGTTTGACCATATCATAACAAACTTTTATATAGAGAAAATTTAATACACAGAACAAATATTGTAAGGTTGAGAGATGACCAGAACACTGATCAATTGGTGCCAAGTATGCAGAATTCAAACACACAAAGGAAAACAGAGTCCGATATGAGGCTGATCGGATTATTTCTCGGTTCATTCGGGGAGCTACCTGATCCAGAAACAATAGCAACGGCTGATTTGGGTATATTTTTGGCAAGATTATTTTTATCTATGTGCATAAAGATGACTAATTTTTGATAATTTGTTGATATTGTTCATTTAATTTTACAAATGTTTTCTTTTTGCTTTTTGCTTTGTTTATGTATTATCAAAAAGACATGATAAAAAGTTTATGATATGACCATTTAGATATCATAACCCTCATCAACTCTCGGTCCTGATACCAGCCAGAGGGGCTGATAAGGGGCATGCCAGCGTTTTAACAAATCTTACCACATTGACTTTTAATATTGGTAGGTTATTTCTTTTTCACAAAAAAATCTATCAATCAATGGTAGCAGGACGTTGACTCTAGGCCTTTCTGATTTTCAGATGAAGTTGCTTTATTTCTGTGACCTAAAATAAAGGTCAATGTAATTTCTTCATAACATTCCATGTCAGCAAGCTATAGGACATTTTTTAGCTTATTCAAAAGAAGCTGTTTGAGTGTTAGATTGACCCCTTTTACCTTGAATATAGGTAGAGTATATTTCTTTTGAATTCATTGCAGCATTTCATGCAAACAACTTACTAATTCATTTTGACCAATGATTTCAGGCCAGGTGAACTAGCAACTTGAACTGTCTGTATCAAAGATGGCTGCCTTTTTCCTATCAGTCTCAAAATGAAACATGCACAACCTAGGACCATTGGAGACTGTGAATAATGAAACATGCACAACCTAGGACCATTGGGAGGCTGTGATACAACCCAGGACCATTGGGAAGCTGTGATACAACCTAGGACCATTGGGAGGCTGCGATACAACCTAGGACCATTTGGAGGCTGTGATACAACCTAGGACCATTGGGAGCTGTGATACAACCTAGGACCATTGGAAGGCTGTGATACAACCCAGGACCATTGGAAGGCTGTGATACAACCTAGGACCATTGGAAGGCTGTGATACAACCTAGTACCATTGGGAGGCTGTGATACAACCTAGGACCATTGAGAGGCTGTGATACATCCTAGGACCATTGGGAGGCTGTGATACAACCTAGGCCCATTGGGAGGCTGTGATACAACCTAGGGCCATTGGGAGGCTGTGATACAACCTAGGACCATTGAGAGGCTGTGATACATCCTAGGACCATTGGGAGGCTGTGATACAACCTAGGCCCATTGGGAGGCTGTGATACAACCTAGGACCATTGAGAGGCTGTGATACATCCTAGGACCATTGGGAGGCTGTGATACAACCCAGGAACATTGGGAAGCTGTGATACAAACTAGGACCATTGGGAGGCTGTGATACAAACTAGGACCTTTGGGAGGCTGTGATACAAACTAGGACCATTTGGAGGCTGTGAGTAATGATTAATACACAACCTAGGACCATTGGGAGGCTGTGATACAATCTAGGACCATTGGGAGGCTGTGATACAACCCAGTACCATTGGGAGGCTGTGATACAAACTAGGACCATTGGGGGGCTGGGATACAAACTAGGACCATTGGGAGGCTGTGATACAACCTAGGACCCTTGGGAGGCTGTGATACAACCTAGGACCATTGGGGGGCTGGGATACAAACTAGGACCATTGGGAGGCTGTGATACAAACTAGGACCATTTGGAGGCTGTGAGTAATGAAACATGCACAACCTAGGACCATTGGGAGGCTGCGATACAACCTAGGACCATTTGGAGGCTGTGATATACCCTAGGACCATTGGAAGGCTGTGATACAACCTAGTACCATTGGGAGGCTGTGATACAACCTAGGACCATTGGGGGGCTGGGATACAAACTAGGACCATTGGGAGGCTGTGATACAACCTAGGGCCATTGGGAGGCTGTGATACAACCTAGGACCATTGAGAGGCTGTGATACATCCTAGGACCATTGGGAGGCTGTGATACAACCCAGTACCATTGGGAGGCTGTGATACAAACTAGGACCATTTGGAGGCTGTGAGTAATGATTAATACACAACCTAGGACCATTGGGAGGCTGTGATACAAACTAGGACCATTTGGAGGCTGTGAGTAATGATTAATACACAACCTAGGACCATTGGGAGGCTGTGATACAAACCTATGAGTGGGGATAGATCCTGGAACCATCCTGGTAGCATATGTGTATTAGACTGTGAATAATGAAACATGCACAACCTAGGACCATTGGGAGGCTGCGATACAAACTAGGACCATTGGGAGGCTGTGATACAACCCAGTACCATTGGGAGGCTGTGATACAAACTAGGACCATTGGGGGGCTGGGATACAAACTAGGACCATTGGGAGGCTGTGATACAAACTAGGACCATTTGGAGGCTGTGAGTAATGAAACATGCACAACCTAGGACCATTGGGAGGCTGTGATACAAACTAGGACCATTTGTAGGCTGTGAGTAATGAAACATGCACAACCTAGGACCATTGGGAGGCTGTGATACAACCAAGGACCATTGGGAGGCTGTGATACAACCTAGGACCATTGGGGAGGCTGTGAATATGAAATTTAACAAGATCTGTTGCATACTTCTTGAGAAATAGTTATAACAAGCTTAACCTATCAAAATCTCAGAATGCTACCAGATTTTGTGTAAATATCACCTATTTTTGTAATGTTTGGATGTATAGTGGATGTCATGATATTGTTATAATATTTTAGCTTGTTAAGTACATCAGAAAAGCTGCACTGACAGTGACTGATGTGATACAGACCTGCGAGTCTTCATCAGAACCTGAACGTTTTATTGGACTGTTGTCTTCTTGATTGGAGTTATCCTGTTTGGAGACACAAACCGGACTCTGCATGATCATGTCTGTGGTGGGAGAAGCAGGTTCAGCCTGGAAACAAACCATAGAAATACAGATTATTATTACTTGCATCATTATCACTCTTGCAAGGAATAGACCCAGTGGGTCTAGGCTATCTTTCATCTTGATATTTAGGCAATCATGGCAAAAAGTTCTTATTAAAAATTGTATGGCAAATATGATCAAAAGCATAGGGCAATCCTGGTAAATCTTCATGCTCAGCAATAGTATATATTATAATAAAGTGGGGATCCTTATTTCCATTAATGTATATATTAGTATGTGTGGGGATCTCAACAGTTTCAAATAACCCAGGAACTAAGTGTCTATGAGTGGGGATAGATCCTGGAACCATCCTGGTAGCATATGTGTATTCATCTCTTTATACTCAACAATTACAAATATGGCTAAGGTAGCAGAGTAGAAATGGCTTGACCCTAAAAATAAAGGGCAGGTCTCGAATAAACATGGATAGCAGATTCATCCTGCACAACACACCTACATAAATATATATATTTATAAACTACATTTTGAATACGTTTTTTTTAGAAGAATGAATATTTTTTCAAAAAGTGATTTCTCCAGATTTGGGACTTGTGAAAACCATGGTTACCACATCAAAAACCGCCAAAAAATGCAAAAAAACATGATTTTTAACCTAAAATTTGACCCACGCAAGTAGTATTTTTTTTCTTAAACCTGTCTTAAATTAAATATCACCTACTCGGTCACAGATACTCACATTTTAACATAGGTCGTCAAACTAGATTTTTCACAATATTTACACATGTGCTGAGTACAACAAAAGACTACATGAAAAGCTAGCTTTTGTTGTGTAGACAGATTCGTAAATGGCCAAAAATGTAGTCTCAAGCCAAATTCAATTTTTTTTTTAAATGTGAAGCCCACATAGTCCAATATTCATCATGTATATGCCAATTTTACAGCTGAACTTTAAAAAAAATAATTGATACATGTAATATTAAAGGGGTTATTCATTGTACAAAAATAACACCCATGGCCACCGTACGCTACTGCACACTGCTACCTAAAGGGTATGGATCTCAACTGTTTCAAAGTTTAGACCAAGAATCTAGGAAACAAGTTTCTTTTTACAATAAAAATAGGATTTAGTAGTTGTTTCCCCTACTTCAATTATCTATTTGATAATATCAACTTGCTTCTATGTGTTTATATATGTTTGTATGTGTTCTAATGTCTACCGTAAAAACCCATGTAATTTGCGCACTTGTGTAATTTGCGCAGGTACTTTTTGAGGCTGAAAATCTGGAAAAAAGCTTCTACTCAAATATTTTGCGCACCCAAAAAATCTGGAAAAAAACGATGTTCATGCTCCGAAAATCGATCTCTGAATAATTTTTTTTTAAATATATTTCTCTGATTTTTTTTTCATTGATGTAAAATGATATTTAAAACCATGAAGAAACTACGTAAAATGTGTATTTTGTAGCTTGTTTTCTTTGAATTATCTGATCACACATAACACACACGTGTGCGCACATCGGCATACATCAATTCATTTTAGCAATATTTTACATAAAACATTTACTTGCTTACAAAAACATATCAATTAATAAGTAATTCGATGTTTAATAACCGCTGGTGCATATCTCCTGGATAAAAGACATAATTAGATACCTTTTATTGATCATAATTATGATCAGTGAGAAGGGCTCATCATGGCGGCTTGGGTTACGTCACTTCAAACCAGGTCATGTCACAGATCAGTTTGGCCACGGAATTAGATTATCTAAGTCCGTGGTTTGGCGATATTTTTTACAAATTACAATGCAGTAATTAGCTAACACTATCTCTGTGATTACCCGTTAACAATAGCTCTACTAATTGAAATGATTTGCAGTCGCGATCGACGGACCGTGTTGTTGTTTTTTTCACTCGCCAACACGTGGCGTGAATTACGAAGCCCTACTGCATTGTCATAACTACAGACTGATTTGACTGATAAGGGATTATAAAAAATATGTTTATACTAGAAGCGTGGACAATCAATACATCCTCTTCAAATCTACTCCAAGGAAAAAAATAGTTAACGCAGACTATTTTTACGATGCTTCATTTAATAAATATTGAAATAATTCACGAGGTTATTATCAATCACGTGTTTACGTAATGTTAGACGCGAGATCAACATGAAAGTGAGCCGTAAAAAAAACATGCTATACGTTTACGCATAGGCGATTTGAAAAAACCTTACAGAACTTACATGGAACGGAGCTTAAATTGAACAACTACATTTTCGTAATAGTATGGGGAAACGCACCGAGATGTCGAAACGTAATGTCGTAAGTTGATCGGCGATTCTCTGGCATAGGAATTTGGCTAAACTTTTTTTGTTAACGGTTACCTATTTAATAATACTTTTCACATAAACTCACATAACAACACATTATGTATCTTTTATTAATGTTTGACATAAATAAATTTGTTGACCGACATTTGTCTTAGAGTTCCGTGTATAATAAATAAGGGAAATAATCCAAGATGGCGATCTCCCAGAATCGTCGATCTTTTCCTGAAAAAAACATGAATGTTCTATACCTGTGTATTTTACGCACCCCCAACTTTGGGTATTAAATTTCTGAAAAAAAAGTGCGCAAATTACATGGGTTTTTACGGTATGTTTATGCTTGTACCACTGTTTGTTACTATGTTTGGAGAGGGCTTAAATAGGCTATGCCTGCTGCCCAATCCATTTGTCTTTTGACAAATAAAATTTATTGAAATTGAATTTGACACCAGTGACCATATGTGTATTCATCACTTTTTACACAGCAATTGAATATTTGGTTATATGTTGGAGATTATTTCAATGTTAAACAATATGTATCAATAGAAACAAATATACAGTAAAACCTTGATATAATGCCTGTCATTTCATTTGCCACCTCACTTACTGCCAACATATATCAGGTCCCTTAATGACGTTTTTCTTGTACAATTTCCCTCAATTTATTGCCAAACCCTTTTATAAGGCCAACATTTCTTTGAACAAATGATGGCAATACAACAAAGTTTTTGTTGTGCATTAACATGTAAGAAGAGATGACCAGCCAACAAGAAATAGTCAACAGCGTATTGATGGTGGTGACCGATCCAACACTGCACAAAAAAAAACTTGCCCAAAAACTTTGACTAAGTCCAACTAACTAGTTTTGGCCCCTAAAATAATGAAAATATAATTCAGAACATTGCTTACACTCCATATAAATACTTCAACCTTATAAAAGACAACAGCCTATTGATGGTGGTGATCCAACACTTCACAAAAAAACTTGTCCATTTTGGCCCCTAAAATATGAAAATATGGTCCAGCACATTGCTTACACTCGATATAAATGCCTTAACCTCATAACAGACAACTATGTTTTAGGTGTAATGATCCAACACTGTCTGGAAAAATCTTGCCCAAAAGCTTTAACCTCAAGCTTGCCCCAAAACATTAACCAAGTCCAATTAAGCTTGTTTGGCCCCTAAAGTTTGTTTTGCCTAAGGATGCTATACACCAAATTTGATTCAAATCCCTCCTTTCATACAGAGGGAAAAGGATTTTAAACATTTCCCTTTTGTTCTTCCTAATTGGCCCTGCCCCTCTGCACCCAGGGGGGCCACACCCATTGTTTATACAAAATTGTCCATGTAAAAAAGGTGTTGGTAAAAAATTGGATCCTGTTTGACCAAGGATACTCCAGGTTAAAATGAGCTAAAACCCACTAAGCTGTTCAGGACTAGTTTTAAAGAAAAACTGGCGGACAAACGACGGACGCTGCGCCTTCGGGCGGGTGAGGTAAAAAACTCTTTTAGTGCCATCCATAAGTCCCCCCCCCCTCCTCCCTCCTCAGGGGGTTAGACCTTTAACGTGTATTATTGGAATACCGACTGAGGATGCTTCCAACCAAATGTAGTTCTAGAAAAAAATTGCTTAACACAATATGGCAAAAAGTTGACACTTGATAAATGGATGGCTGATGTACTGAAGCATTAGGTCATTTGGCTAGATGAGTTAAACATAGTTGACTCATTCAGATATATCCCCAATCCCATAGAATGGCGGAGTGGGGCCTTTGGTACTTTTGTCTTGACCGAAATAGTAAAGAAAGTCTACTTTCATATCTTTAATACTCTATATGAAAATGTTGATGCTCTTGAAGACACTGAAACACCCCTTTTATACTGTCACATCCAATTACTTACCTCCCCGTTTGCGCATGTGGTGTCTTTGCTTGGATTGTCCTGTGTGGGTGTGCCGCTTCGTGAATCTCGACTTGAGTCATCCTGAATGTCCACTGTGATGGTGTCAGAGCGGAGGAGCTCCGTATCAGACTTGCTGTGAGACAGGCCCTGAGACTGCTCGCAAGGCTTACCACTGCTTTCTATGCTTGGACGATTCTCCTGCAGATACATTCCGTATATATCAACAGGAATCACTGATGTTTTATGAGAGATTTTTTAGTTAAGTTTTGTAATTTTACATTGACGGACAGAGCTTCTTCTTAATAACCAAAAGGCCTAGGGTGATGATATTTGGCCAGAAGCAAACTAGGATGAAGGACTACCTTCGGGCCAGGTGAGCTAATAATAGACTTTATTTAAATTTGATAACACATTGAGTAAAGGCCTCATCTCACATGTGGTCGACATAAAATATACAATATTTACAACTTGAGTAAGAAAAAAGATACATAGCATACATGCACACATAAAATCCATAAGGTTAAGATAGAAGCATATCACAGTTAAGATTATAGTATCACAGGTTTGGAAAACTAAGAATATGTCTCATGTGTAACAAGAATTCCACGGAAGTGGATGTGTCGCCTGCGCAGGACTTGCTTAGCACTGGATGAAGTTTGAGTTTGATCGGCCCAAGGAAACTCAAGTTATTGCACGAAAACAGATTTTCTATTTATAGTAACAGAGACCTTGACTTTTGACCATCGGACCTGAAAAGCAATCCCAAGCAAGCACTTTTGGTAAGAAAGCACTGCATGAAGTTTGAGTTTGATCGGCCCAAGGAAACTCAAGTTATCGCACGAATACAGATTTTCTATTTATAGTAACAGTGACCATAACCTTTGACCTTCAGACCTGAAAAGCAATCACAAGCAAGCACTTTTGGTAAGGAAGCACTGCATGAAGTTTGAGTTTGATCAGCCCAAGGAAACTCAAGTAATCGCACGAAAACCTCTGTGCGGACGATGCCGACGGCACTGCCGACGCAGACATAGCAATACCTATTTGTCACCAGCTTTTCGCAGGCCACACAATAAAATCATGAGTTTCATTTTTACAGAAAATAACAAGTCAATAAAAATACCAATATTAAATGTTATTCCTCTCACCCTTTTTCTTGGTTCAGAAGATTTTCCTCTCTGCAGCAATTCTGTGGGTACATACTGAACCAGTTGTTTCCTGTAATACACAAAACATCACAGATTACAGCATGTTTCCTGTAATACACAAAATATCACAGATTACAGCATGTTTCCTGTAATACACAAAACATCGCAGATTACAGCATGTTTTATGTAATACACAAAACATCACAGATTACAGCATGTTTCCTGTAATACACAAAACATCACAGAATACAGCAGTCAATCTTCATGAAGATCAAGCACTGAAGTAAAACAAACAAGAGGCCCACAGGGGTCTCTATTGCTCTCTTGAATAATTGAACAATCATGGGAAACTATTCTCAATGAAAGTACTTTTGCGAATATTTCCATATATCGTGTCTCCTTGGCCTTAGAATGTTTCAAACTACTTTCTTACATTGAAATATGATCTGCATCATTCTAAGACTGGTTAGCTGACATGCTATAAACAAGAGGCCCAATGGGCCTGAATCGCTCACCTGGTATTAATCTCACACTTGTAATCTTAAAAGTGGACTAATATACAGCTACAGGCAAAATATCTGTGTTCGATCCATTTGAATCTATTGAATGTTTTAAACATATGACGCCTGCGACCTTGAAAGTTTATAGCTTTCCGTCCCGTCATATTTCTGGCTAAATATCATTACCCTGGACCTTTTGAATATTCAGAACAAGTCATTTAAAGATTTAAACATATTTGATCCCTGTGACCTTGAATATGAGCAAAGGTCATTCATTTGAACAAACTTGGTAGCCCTTCATCCCAGCATGTTAATGGCCAAATATCATCATCCAAGGCCTTTTGGTTATTGAGAAGAAGTTCTTTAAAGTTTTTAAACATATTTGACCCCTGTGACCTTGAAAATAGATGAAGGTAATTCATTTGAATAAACTTGGTAGCCCTACATCTGATCATGTTACTGGCCAAATGTCATTAGCCTATGCCTCTTGGATATTCAGGAGAAGTTATTTAAAGGTTTTAAACCTATTTGACCCCTGTGACCTTGAAAATAGGTGAAGGTTGTTTGTTTGAACAAAATTGGTAGCCCTTCATCTGAGCATGATACTGGTCAAATATCATCACCCTGTGCATTTTGGTTATTCAGAAGTTGTTTAAAGGATTTTTAAGGCAATTGACTCTTGTGACCTTGAATATAATTGAAGTTCATTCATTTGAACAGACTTGGTAGTCCTTCACCCAAGCATGCTACTGGCCAAATATCATCTCCCTGGGCAGTTTGGTTATCGAGAAGAAGATGTTTAAAGTTTTTAACATATTTGACACCTGTGACCTTGAAAATGGGTGAAGGTCATTAATTTTAACAAACTTTGTAGCCCTTCATCCCAGTTTGCTTCTGGCCAAATATTGACGCCCTAGGCCTTTGGGTTATTAAGAAGAAGTCGTTAAAATATTGATGCCGGATGGCGGACGGACGACGCGTCACCGCATAAGCTCACTTTGCACTTCGTGCCAGGTGAACTAAAAATTGTTGAATCAAAATTCTTTTAAGGGAGACACAACTTCATATCATGATTATAATGTATACCAAGTTTCAAAGAGATCAGTTAAAGAATGTAGGAGGAGATTGCCAGACAAACAAAAGTTTACACCCGACAGACGGACGAACCCATACATGTACAATAATACTCCCGTCAAATTTGACAGGCGTATAAAAAGATGTTTAAAGGTTTCAAACATATTTGACCCTTGTGATCTTGAAGAATCTTTATAGCCCTTCATGCCAGGTATCCACTGGTCAAATATCATTATATGGGGCTCCTGGTTATACAAAAGAAGTTGTTTAAGTGTTTTTCATGTTTACTCTGGTGACCTTTAAAGAAGGTCAAGGTCAATTATTATAGGAAACTTTATAGCACTCTGTCCTTTGTACCTATTGGCTAAGTATCATGACTCTGGATCTCCTAGTTATTTAGAACAAGAGGCCCAAGGGCCTTAGCGGTCACCCGAGTTATATCATAGGTACTGGTAGCTTTATTTTATTGTTGAGATGTGATGTGGAAATCAGCATGTAAACTAAAATGAATTACAATACTTGTCATGTCATCAAAGGATAAGAATTTGAAAATATTGGTAAATGTTCCCTTTGGGGCCCCGCCCTAGCCCTTGGGGATGGGGCAGGAATCCCAATTTTTACAATGTAATCCCCTCATTCACCAAATATGATTCTAACTAAGTTTAAGTAATTTTCTGCTGAAAATGGATAAAATATACCCAAAAAGTGTTATTTCCCTATATAAACTATAGTAAACTTTACCCCCTCCCCAAGGGAGAACAAATAGCTCAGGGGTCCTGAAATTTACAATTTAAAGAAAGCCTCTGATTATCTTTCTTTCCATTCAGAGAGAATGACTGTAGTACCTCTGAGTCTGGAGAAGAAGATTTTTGAAATATTGGTTAATTTCCCTTTGGGGCCCCGCCCTGGCCCCAGGGGTTGGGGTAGGAATCTCAATTTTACAATTTGAAACAATTTTCCTCCAAGGATAATTCTCACCAAGGAAAAATAATTTCCTACCGACAGATGTCAAAATATACCCAAAAGTGTTATTTTTGCCTATATAAACTATAGTAAACTTTAGCCCCTCCCCAAGGGAGAACGGATAGCTCAGGGGTCCTGAAATTTACAATTTAAGTAAAGCCCCTGATGATCTTTCTTTCCGTGCAGGGAAAATGACTGTAGTACCTCTAAGTCTGAAGAAGATTTTTGAAATATTGGTTAATTTTTCCTTTGGGGCCCCGCCCTGGCCCCAGGGGTTGGGGTAGGAATCCCAATTTTACAATTTTGTAGCCTCATCTACCAAGGATGATTCTGATTCTGACCAAGTTTGAAAAAAATCCATTGTTTGGTTCTTGAGAAGAAGTTGAAAATGTAAAAAGTTTACGCATGACGTCGACGGACGGAAAGCAATTAGAATAGGTCACTTGAGCAAAGCTCAGGTGACCTAAAAATATGTTTAAATGTTTGAAACACTTTTTACCCCTGTGACATTGAAAGTAGGTCAAGGTCATGTATTTGGAAAAACTTCATAGCACTACATGCAAAGTACCTACTGGTCAAGTATAAGTACTCTGGGCCTCCTTGTTATTCAGAAGAATTATTTAAAGGTTTTTAACACTTTTTAACATTGTGACCTTGAAACTAGATAAAGGTAATTTAATTGAGGAAGCTTTATAGCACTCTGTCCCAGGTACCTACAAACTAAATAGCATTGCTTTAGGTATCTTGGTTTTCCAGAAGAAGCTGTTTAAAAGTTTTTAAACACTTTTTATCCCTGTGACCTTGTAGTTTGGTCAAGGACACTTATTTGAGAAATATTTATAGCACTCTGTCATAAGTACCTACTGGCCAAATATCATTGCTCTGTGCCTCTTGGTTATACAAGAAAAGTTGTTTTTAAAGGTTTTTAATGCTTTTTGCCACGGTAACCTTGAAAGTAGGTCAAGGTCATTTATTTGAGGAAAGTTTATAGCACTTCATGCCAGGTACCTACTAGCCAAGCATTATTAATATTGGCCCCCCTGGTCATTCAGAAGAAAATGATAAAGGTTTTGACATATTTAACCCCTGTGAAAGTAGGTCAAGGCAATTAATTTGAGGAAAATGTATAACATCAGTACAGGGAGCGCTGCATTCACACTTCCTGTCCAGCCAAAAATAAAGCCTTGGTTTAATAAGCAGTTTGTTTAAATGAAATGATAAACACTTAAACATGAAAATTTAAGCCAATTTTTACTGTCTATGCAACACCTCTTTTTAACTTGAAATATATTGTTTGTTTAATTGAGTTACTTACCGCTTGACATGCTTGATTTCTATTTTCATGTCTTGCTTCATCAACTTGATATGGACAGCTTGTCTGTGTACTGTCATACAAAACAGGAGAGTAAATAACAAATAACAATGTTGAAGATAAAACATGAAAGTACACAAAAGTTTACCACTACCATACAACATGTCTAAACCATATCCTATAGCATCTAAAGCCTGCATATCCAGAACCAGCAAGGTTCCACTGAATACATGTCCATCTCCACCAGCAAGGTTCCACTGAATACATGTCTATCTCAACCAACAAGGTCCCACTGAATACATGTCCATCTCCACCAGCAAGGTTCCACTGAATACATGTCCATCTCCACCAGCAAAGTTCCACTGAATACATGTTTATTTCAACCGGCAAGGTAACAATGAATACATGTCTATCTCAACCGGCAAGGTTCCACTGAATACATGTCTATCTCAACCGGCAAGGTAACAATGAATACATGTCTATCTCAACCGGCAAGATAACAATGAATACATGTCTATCTCAACCAGCAAGGTTCCACTGAATACATGTCTATCTCAACCGGCAAGGTAACAATGAATACATGTCTTTCTCAACCAGCAAGGTTCCACTGAATACATGTCTATTTCAACCAGCAATGTTCCACTGAATACATGTCTATCTCAACCAGCAAGGTTCCACTGAATACAAGTCTATTTCAACCAGCAAGGTTCCACTGAATACATGCCTATCTCAACCGGCAAGGTTCCACTGAATACATGTCTATCTCAACTGGCAAGGTTCCACTGAATACATGTCTATCTCAACTGGCAAGGTTCCACTGAATACATGTCTATCTCAACCAGCAAGGTTCCACTGAATACATGACTATCTCAACCAGCAAGGTTCCACTGAATACATGTCTATTTCAACCAGCAAGGTTCCACTGAATACATGTCTATTTCAACCGGCAAGGTAACAATGAATACATGTCTATCTCAACCAACAAGGTTCCACTGAATACATGTCTATTTCAACCAGCAAGGTTCCACTGAATACATGCCTATCTCAACCGGCAAGGTTCCACTGAATACATGTCTATCTCAACCGGCAGTAAAGCACTAGTTACTGAAAAGTCTTGTTAGTGGGCTTAAAGTCGGTAATTCTCTGTCTTTGAGGTGGTTGATCAAATATAATTACTTTTTGCGCGGTCTGAGAGTGAGATACCCTATAATCATCTGACATAGATAGATTTGGAAACAACAGAAGATATTAATACAAATTGATATTGTAATAATTGATATATTTTGTAAATTGTTATTTATATCAGTGTAAGGTGAAAGAAGTGATATAAATACAATGTAGTCTGGATTTACCTTTCTTTACCTCAAGTTTCCCCTATTGGGCCCTGTCCCTCTGCACAAGAGGGGTCACACCCTCTGTTTTAACAAAATTTAGTGCCCTTTGCCTAAGGTTGAAACACTCTATTCATTCAAATAGTATTTAATCTTGTTAAAATGTTTTCAAATTGTTCAATACAGTTTTCATTCAAATGTAAATACCTTTGTTACCTTGATTAATTGTTAGCCTGGTTTAAGAATCTTCTGGAGAAAGCAAGAAAGGGTATGTATTTGCAGAGCGCATAGACGCTGTAAATGTATGGATGTCGCCATTTTGTGAACTCTCGTAACCTTTTGAACTGTGTCAGTTTGGTGTCACTTGAGTGTTTATTCCTTTGTGTATTGAAAGTATTGGAAAAAGAGGATGTGGAAATATGGAATGCTTTGAAAGTATTGGATTGCATATTTCAGAGTGTAGATGTGTACAAAGAGTTTTAGATGTGAATAACATGAAATATATATGTATAATGTTGATTTGATAAGTATTTTTCATACAAGTATCAATGCAAATCGCCGGGTTTATTTGGGTTTAACAGGTACTACAAGCAATGGATGTGACATCACAGTCCGCCAAGGAACAGGTGTTGTTGCCCTGTTGAGCTTGTGGTTTGCCTCGTTGATGTTAAGAGTCTTGCAAGGGGCGTAGGGATTGGTTGAGGCGTTGGGAAATCAGTTGCTGTTGGATGTTCATAAGGGAAGGTTGGTTTTTGAGCTGCTGGCAGCTACTATACCTTCGGATCGTTCAAATACCGTATAGTATGTCAGTATGCTTAGTTTATAGGATAAGGGAAACAACTCGTAAAATAGGATGTGGGGATGGACGGGGGATTTTAATAATATTGACATTTATTGGAGATAGTTAACATTGTCTATCTTAGCATACTTTAGGTACTTCAGACAGTGGAGTTGGACATTAATTATATTTGGAAGTCTAGTGATCAGAATATTTCCAGATCTATATCTTATTTATTTGCTACTAATACTAAATTTCATCTAGCGTTGGTATTTTATGGTATTCATTGCACAATATTTACATTCTGTATGCTTGGCCCCATGGACGAAAACGAAATTCATTTTTGCATAACACAGATGACCTCATCACTGCGTATTGATACACTTTAATGACGTAGAACAGGGCGTAATTGGAACACTTCCGCCGTGAAACAGCCCTCGGTGTAGTTTTGTTATGCTAATATGATTATCATTAACATGATAGGCTTGATTTTTAAGTTTAAATGAGGTGTGTAAGGTACATGATAATAATATCCTACTTGTGTAAATTCTACAAAACAAATTTTGAAAATGGAACTATATTCTATTTGTTTTTTTGTCATGCTGTTACTAGGACCCCTAGCGAATGTTTTACATTTTGCCCCAATGCATAAATAGAAAAAAATGCCAGTATTGCTTTTACTTATGCTTTCATCGGAAAATTCAAAACACTTCAAAATGTAAATATATGGAATGAAATTAATTTTTCAATGTCATAACAATATTGGCTTTCTGGGCCGGGTGAGCTAACAAGCATACACATTTGAATATTTTCTCTGGTAAATAGGATATCACAATCAGCAGCATCCACTGGACAAACCAGTAGAATATACAAGGCTTTGAAACAGACATTTTGAGACCACCATCAGCTGTGTAAAATAGCATGCAACAGCTTTTGACATTCTGACATACATACCTGTTGCTGTGAAAGGCTGAATATCGTATGTGAGATCAATGTTTTGATTTTTCACCTCATTGAAGGTGAGTCCAATAAACCATTTACACATGTACTGACCGTCACTGAAAAAGAGGTTTCTATATATATAGCTAAGTATAAGCGTGATAGTCTTTTTTGTTTTGATATTAATTGAAAATAGAATTTCATTTCTGAATCATATATCTGAAAGTAAAGTCACAGTGGTAATTGTAATTTAAACTTTATATCATTTCTTTTTGATTTTACAGTATACTATAAAGCATTATAAAGTCACTGTGTTATAGCATACTGCATGTAACCATATATTTCGTCATCTCTAAAATATAAATCATCAATAATGAATTTTATAACTCATAGCCTCAAAATCCATCAAAGACATTATAATTTAACATTTAACCATTACTTAGAAATCAATCAATGGTTATAAAATGATAAAGATTATTTAAAATTGTGTCAATCAGCTTTTCTGCAGTGAAACTTTTTCCAAAACACTTCTATCAAGGCACTTACGGATCTGTGTACAACTGCCAAAAAATGAAACAATGCATTCGTAAAGTTTGTTGGGCTTCATCCCGAGTAGCTTCCAGCCAAATATTATGATTCTATACCTTTCGGTTCTTTAGAATATGACCCCTGCGACCTTGAAAGCAGGTTGAGGTCATTTTCATTCGTAGACTTTGTTGGGCTCTATCCCAAGAAGCTACCAGCAAAATATTATAATTCTATGCCTTCAAATTATTCAGAAGAAGTTGTTTAACTCTTTCCATACCGTTGTCTTGTGTACGCACTATTTGTTTCCTGGTCCCAGATGTCACATACAGAGGACAAAAAATATATGCCATCTCATCCCCGTTGTCGTGTATACACGACAAGACTTTAGTGTTACTTTTCTTCTGTTTAACTGCTTATAGAACACATCAATCGTGTAATCAAATTAATTGTCGCTAAAATCAACACTCATTAGTTGACAAGAAAGACTTTAATAGTAGGTGCACAGTACACATGTGACCTATTGTTTTCAAATTTGCTGCAAGATGTTGTGTTTTGCAGTTTCCAATATAAACAAAATGGCAGCACCTTACTTCGATACAAACTAGTAAATTCATCACAATATATATATAGAGACTAATTTTAAAATAAGTTACGATAAAACTTACTCGTGTTTAGAAAAACTAAATGATTTCGTAACCAAAATCAATCCCCATTTGGGACCCACACTACAACGCTGTTTTGAATACAATGAATCGCATCCTTCGTTACCGGACAAATGTTAATTTCTCAGTCATAACCAGCTGCAAGTTAGTCATAATGCTACGAAAATGAAGATGTGTATTTCTATGAACAACAAGCAAATTCGAGGAATTTATATCCCCCCGCTTGCAGAACATATATTGTAGGTTAACATTACTGAGGTTAGGTGAGTATCGTGCTGTTGAGACATAATGCATAGCTTAAAACTTGAGGAAAGAAAAAAAAAGCCCTATACCTCATTGATTATCCATAAATATGCACAAATCACATCGGTTGGCAAACTTGACTAGGATGTGCATAAGGAATTTGGTTGAAACATCTTAACAATATCTACAGCAATTATCACATGAAAAACCGAAGAGTGCCCGAGATGGGTGGAAAGACAGAGGAACACAAACATTGTTATCAAGTTTGAAGGAATTTGGCTACTATTTGCTAGAGTTATTAAGCGGAAGCTGCAGATAATGACGTTTTTCGTTAATCAAGGGGCCATAACTCTGCCAAATGGAGTCCGATGAAAGTGGTTGTCAAACTTGGCCGAGCTCTTAATGGATTGAACTGTTACTAAGTTTGAAGACAATCGGATAATATGTGCGAGAGTTAATGAACAGAAACGGCAGATAATTATGTTTTTTCATTATTCAAGGGGCCATAACTCCGCCAAATAAAGTCAGCTAGGACATGCGGTACGGAATCCAGACCGGAGCTGCGGTACGGACAGAGTTAAAGTGTTTGAAATATTCGACCCCTGTGACCTTGAATGGTCATTTTCATTCGCAGTCTTTGTTGGGATCTATCCCAAAAGCCACCAGCTAAATATTACGATTATATGCCTTTAAATTCTTCAGGAGAAGTCATTTGAAATGTAGGACATAGGAACCCTTTGACCTTGAAAGTATGTTAAGGTCATTTTCATATGCAAAATTTGTCAAGCTTCATCTCAGTAAGCTGCCAAGCAAGTATTAAGATACTATAGCATTTAGTTTGTCAGAAGTTGTTTGAAGCGTTTAACTTGTTTGACCCATGTGACCTTTAAAGTAGGTCAAGGTCATTTTCATTTGGAAGGACAGATGACGGACGGAAGGACAGGTGAGCTGAAAACGACAGTGTAGTGGGACAGGGATCTTACATATTCAGTAGGGGTTAAAGGGCCCTTTATTATAAGTAATAACGGATCAGAGAGGAACTTACTTTTCATTGAGGGGTCCAAGGGATTCTGGCATCACATGAGCTATTTTGATGAATGGATTTCGTTCCAGATTGCCAACTAAAAGTCTGATCTTTGACTCCACATAACCGTGCCTGCAAAAAAATCAGTCAATGTCATCAAGAAACTAAACTAAACATTTGTTTTTGCAAACAAAAACATGTTTTCCTCTTCATTAGACAATTTTCTTTCCCCTCTCTTCAAAAAAAGATAAAAACATAAGCGAAGTCAAATATCCATATAATTTTCTTGAATATATTAAGGTTATTAGGGGAAATGCCTATTACTTAAATATAAAAACATATATGCATTAATGAAATAACAAATGTAAGACGCAGAAGGTAAACCCAAACACTGTAAAAGTTGAAACTACAAACTTATATTTATTTTTATTTTTGACTTTGAGGTCAAGGTCACAGAAATTTTTGGTAACTTTTGTTTAAAGCTTCATACTGCTATGCTAATGCAACTATGCAGAGGTGATTTTATGAAAATCTAAGCATTCTGAATGACTAGCGATTTTCTTTTTAAAAATACCAAAAAAAAAAGCTTTCGTCAATCTTAATATTTCCTTTTTTTTTTGGTGTGTGACATAGTTTGAAAAAATTGCAACAATAAAACAAGAGCCCCAGAGGGCCTGTATCGCTTACCTGGATAATATAGCAACCATGGAAAATTCTTATACATATAACAATTAATTCCAAATATTGACTCTGTCTCTCAGCAACACCCATCCCTGTCGTTCTGCCCCCACGAATTGAGGAGAATTTGAAATATTAATCTGAATTCCCCCTATTGAGGTGGCCTCTAGGCCCCCTAAAAGTAACCCTCTAGGCCCCCTAAAAGTAACCCTCTAGGCCCCCTAAAAGTAACCCTCTATATAAACCAAATTGAGTCCCCTTTGCCCAAGGATGCTCAACACAAATTTTGGTAAAAATCCCTTCAAATAAACGGAAGGAGAAGGATTTTAAACTCTTATTACTTTGTTCACCCTTACTGGACCCTTCCCCCTAGGGGACCATAGTTTGTTAAAACTAAATAATGTCTCTTTTGCCAAATTATTTCTCTGGACAAAATTTGGTCAAAATAACTCATATTAAAGGAAAAGGATTCTAAAGATTTACCCCATTTTCTCTACTAGGCCCCATCCCTCTGCCTCAAAGGGAGCCACACCCTCAGTTTATACAAAATTGAGTCCCCTTGAACGAAGGATGCACTCGACCAAATTTGGTTAAATCCCTCCAATTGTACAGAGGAACCGTCAGTTTTAATACTAGATTAATACAAAATTGTTCAGTATCAACCATCTATGTCGATGTCTTTGATTTAGTATTAACAAATGTTTGCTGAAGGCATACAAACCATTCTAAGTATGATGTTTCCTCCTCTGCGGACACGATCAATACAATGTAGTGTCTGAAACAAGGTGGATATTTCATTAGATCACTTTCACATCAGCCTACTTTCCATATCCAAACAATATTTTGCAAATGTTGAAAAACAAAAACAAAAATGAAATATTTCTGAGCAATGAATTTTGAGTATTATTATTGACCTTTATATTTTTAAATACCAGTACCTACCACAAATTTTTTGTTTATTAATGTAGGAATAAACTACCACTTTGAAACTAAAACTTTGAAACTGTAATTTAAAATGCAGTTATGATAAACTATTCAACAACATCTTACCCTCATATTAAACCTACAACAGACATACTAGTAACCCTAACGCTAACATCCCGCCCTCATATTAAACCTACAACAGACATACTAGTAACCCTAACCCTAACATTAATGTCTTAGCTAATCAGAGGCCATAGCTGCCTCTCAAATGGTAACAGTCTGCCTTTCAATGCAAAGTATAAATATCTCCATAGACAATATCGTAGTATAAAGTCAGTCTTTCAGGGAACCAGAGGCCACAGACAATATCGTAGTATAAAGTCAGTCTTTCAGGGAACCTGAGACCATAGACAATATCGTAGTATAAAGTCAGTCTTTCAGGGAACCTGAGGCCATATACAATGTCATAGTATAAAGTCAGTCTTTCAGGGAACCTGAGGCCAAAGACATTACGTAGTATAAAGTCAGTCTTTCAGGGAACCTGAGGCCATATACAATGTCGTAGTATAAAGTCAGTCTTTCAGGGAAACTGAGGCCATAGACAATGTCGTAGCATAAAGTCAGTCTTTCAGGGAACCTGAGGCCACAGACAATGTCGTAGTATAAAGTCAGTCTTTCAGGGAACCTGAGGCCATATACAATGGCGTAGTATAAAGTCAGCCTTTCAGGGAACCTGAGGCCATAGACAATGTCGTAGTATAGATATAAAGTCAGTCTTTCAGGGAACCTGAGGCCACAGACAATGTCGTAGTAGAAAGTCAGTCTTTCAGGGAAGCTGAGGCCATAGACAATGTCGTAATATAAAGTCAGTCTTTGAGGGAACCTGAGGCCACAGACAATGTCGTAGTATAGATATAAAGTCAGTCTTTCAGGGAACCTGAGGCCATAGACAATGTCGTAATATAAAGTCAGTCTTTCAGGGAACCTGAGGCCACAGACAATATCGTAGTATAAAGTCAGTCTTTCAGGGAACCCGAGGCCATATACAATGTCGTAGTATAAAGTCAGTCTTTCAGGGAACCTGAGGCCATATACAATGTCGTAGTACAAAGTCAATCTTTCAGGGAACCTGAGGCCATAGACAATGTCGTAGTATAAAGTCAGCCTTTCAGGGAACCCTGAGGCCATAGACAATATCGTAGTATAAAGTCAGTCTTTCAGGGAACCTGAGGCCACAGACAATGTCGTAGTATAAAGTCAGTCTTTCAGGGAAACTGAGGCCATAAATAATGTCGTAGTATAAAGTCAGTCTTTCAGGGAACCTGAGGCCATAGACAATGTCGTAATATAAAGTCAGTCTTTCAGGGAACCTGAGGCCACAGACAATATCGTAGTATAAAGTCAGTCTTTCAGGGAACCCGAGGCCATATACAATGTCGTAGTATAAAGTCAGTCTTTCAGGGAACCTTAGTCTCACACCATGAAATGTCTTACCCATGCTGAAATGTTTCTCAGGACACATCAGCCATTAACCTTCATCGTAGCATGCAACTTGCCAAATATCACCACCCTAGACCTTGGGTTTATTGAGATAAGGGATCCAAGCATGCTACTGGCCAAATATCAACATTCTGGGCCTAAAGGTTATTCAGAAGAAGTCGATTAAAGATTTTAAACAAATTGGCCCCTGTGACCTTGAATATACGTCAAGGTCATTCACTTCAACACACTTGGTAGCCCTTTATCCTAGCATGCTACTGGCCACTGATATCAACATATTAGGCCTTTTGGATTTTCAGAGGAAGTCATTTAAAGTTTTAAACATATTTGACCCCTGTGACTTTGAATATGATTGAAGGTCATTCGGAAGAGGGACAACATACCATACCAAAAGCTCACATTTTTATATCATCAAACAGAATCATTGAATTGAATCATTATATTTTTTATCGGATAAAGCACCTAAGGAGCTATCAATCAGGGAAGAAGATGTGATTCCAGCAAATCTTGGTTTGGAGAAGAAGGTCGCTTGTTGAAATGACGATGAATGACGAACGAAGGCGGATGGCAATGTGAGCTAAAAAGTTGATGCTGGTCCGGCGACTGACTTCCCAAGACAGACAACAGGTGCTGTAGGCAAGTCTTGAGCTAAAAACACTTTTATTTAGATTTTTGTTTAAATTTATATACAAGTTTTCATTATGTATCTTGAGACTGCATAATAATTTCATTGAGGGTTAATAGAGCAAATTTACTAGTCTTAACATTAACAGGTACTTACTTGTATTTGATGAAAAAGTTACTAGGTTCAAATAGTTTATTCCAGTCGTCCTTAACCTCATATAATTTGGTGACAACATCGAGACCTATAACAAAACATTGATGCAACATGAACAAATGCAAGCACATGGTTCCCACGAAAACATTGTATTCATCTGCAGCGAGCAATCCAGCTTAGAAAATAGAGGCCTTTATGAACTCCAGTTACACCAATTTTAATCACAAATGGCTGTTTTGACGTTTGTGTGTTGTTATTATAGTCAAAAAGCATATCTTAATTTGGAACCTATTTTGCAAACAGTGCTTATGGAATTTTTAACAACCCACTTTGAACATTTTGTCGGATCTTTGGCGGATGAATAACTCAACTACAAGAAAGGCAGTTGTTTGGCTTTTCAAGCAAACAGAACGCCTATAGATAAGCGGCCCAAAGGCTGCCAATCCAAAAATCACAAGTCATAATGGCATCGATAATATCGTAGTATAAAGATTGTGTACGTAGGGGCCAATGGAGACGCTTACATTGAGACGGTGCTGGGGCATTTGATTGGTAAATAATTAAGATGCCTGACTTTCATTCAAATAAGAATGAATTAAGGTGTATTATTCCAATATAAACACTTTGTGTCACTTCATCATTGTATAGAGGGTATGGTGCATTGGTTGGGATGGGGGTTCAGGCTGTCAGGGATGGTTCCTGTTATTACTTGCAATATCAAATTTAGTATAATCATCCTTCTTTCATTCACAATTTTGTAACATTATTATTTGTGTCTGATGCTGATCTCAAAATCTACTAGTTCCATTCTAATAAAACTTCACATAAGCATTGGTGGGCATGTGGAAATGTGCAACCAACCTGTTTTTATGCCTGTGCATCTCCACAGATAATTTTAAATAAATCAAAACAACAATCATGTACTTCCCAATGACTGATGCTTTGATACAGTAAAATCAGTGTCCATATGCTGTTGTATGTATTATTCCAATAATACAAATAACATTCTACATTATTTATATTTTACTCTATAATCCATTACATTTTTGTGTATCATTTGATTGAAAAATGAAAGTTTTAAGTGGGAAGATTTCTGAAGATAGAAGTGAGGGCCTGGAAGTTACGTAATCTAGTCAAAATTTTATCAGTGGTGTAATATTACTATATTTATAATACCAAGGGTACCATAGCCTACCTCGTTATCAGTGGTGTAATATTACTATATTTATAATACCAAGGGTACCATAGCCTACCTCGTTATCAGTGGTGTAATATTACTATATCTATAATACCAAGGGTACCATAGCCTACCTCGTTATCAGTGGTGTAATATTACTATATCTATAATACCAAGGGTACCATAGCCTACCTCGTTATCAGTGGTGTAATATTACTATATCTATAATACCAAGGGTACCATAGCCTACCTCGTTATCAGTGGTGTAATATTACTATATCTATAATACCAAGGGTACCATAGCCTACCTCGTTATCAGTGGTGTAATATTACTATATCTATAATACCAAGGGTACCATAGCCTACCTCGTTATCAGTGGTGTAATATTACTATATCTATAATACCAAGGGTACCATAGCCTACCTCGTTATCAGTGGTGTAATATTACTATATCTATAATACCAAGGGTACCATAGCCTACCTCGTTATCAGTGGTGTAATATTACTATATCTATAATACCAAGGGTACCATAGCCTACCTCGTTATCAGTGGTGTAATATTACTATATCTATAATACCAAGGGTACCATAGCCTACCTCGTTATCAGTGGTGTAATATTACTATATCTATAATACCAAGGGTACCATAGCCTACCTCGTTATCAGTGGTGTAATATTACTATATCTATAATACCAAGGGTACCATAGCCTACCTCGTTATCAGTGGTGTAATATTACTATATCTATAATACCAAGGGTACCATAGCCTACCTCGTTATCAGTGGTGTAATATTACTATATCTATAATACCAAGGGTACCATAGCCTACCTCGTTATCAGTGGTGTAATATTACTATATCTATAATACCAAGGGTACCATAGCCTACCTCGTTATCAGTGGTGTAATATTACTATATCTATAATACCAAGGGTACCATAGCCTACCTCGTTATCAGTGGTGTAATATTACTATATCTATAATACCAAGGGTACCATAGCCTACCTCGTTATCAGTGGTGTAATATTACTATATCTATAATACCAAGGGTACCATAGCCTACCTCGTTATCAGTGGTGTAATATTACTATATCTATAATACCAAGGGTACCATAGCCTACCTCGTTATCAGTGGTGTAATATTACTATATCTATAATACCAAGGGTACCATAGCCTACCTCGTTATCAGTGGTGTAATATTACTATATCTATAATACCAAGGGTACCATAGCCTACCTCGTTATCAGTGGTGTAATATTACTATATCTATAATACCAAGGGTACCATAGCCTACCTCGTTATCAGTGGTGTAATATTACTATATCTATAATACCAAGGGTACCATAGCCTACCTCGTTATCAGTGGTGTAATATTACTATATCTATAATACCAAGGGTACCATAGCCTACCTCGTTATCAGTGGTGTAATATTACTATATCTATAATACCAAGGGTACCATAGCCTACCTCGTTATCAGTGGTGTAATATTACTATATCTATAATACCAAGGGTACCATAGCCTACCTCGTTATCAGTGGTGTAATATTACTATATCTATAATACCAAGGGTACCATAGCCTACCTCGTTATCAGTGGTGTAATATTACTATATCTATAATACCAAGGGTACCATAGCCTACCTCGTTATCAGTGGTGTAATATTACTATATCTATAATACCAAGGGTACCATAGCCTACCTCGTTATCAGTGGTGTAATATTACTATATCTATAATACCAAGGGTACCATAGCCTACCTCGTTATCAGTGGTGTAATATTACTATATCTATAATACCAAGGGTACCATAGCCTACCTCGTTATCAGTGGTGTAATATTACTATATCTATAATACCAAGGGTACCATAGCCTACCTCGTTATCAGTGGTGTAATATTACTATATCTATAATACCAAGGGTACCATAGCCTACCTCGTTATCAGTGGTGTAATATTACTATATCTATAATACCAAGGGTACCATAGCCTACCTCGTTATCAGTGGTGTAATATTACTATATCTATAATACCAAGGGTACCATAGCCTACCTCGTTATCAGTGGTGTAATATTACTATATCTATAATACCAAGGGTACCATAGCCTACCTCGTTATCAGTGGTGTAATATTACTATATCTATAATACCAAGGGTACCATAGCCTACCTCGTTATCAGTGGTGTAATATTACTATATCTATAATACCAAGGGTACCATAGCCTACCTCGTTATCTGTTGTGTAATATTACTTTATCTATAATACCAAGGGTACCATAGCCTACCTCGTTATCAGGGGTGTAATATTACTATATCTATAATACCAAGGGTACCATAGCCTACCTAGTTATCAGTGGTGTAATATTACTATATCTATAATACCAAGGGTACCAAAGCCTACCTAGTTATCAGTGGTGTAATATTGCTTTATCTATAATACCAAGGGTACCATAGCCTACCTCGTTATTAGTGGTGTAATATTGCTTTATCTATAATACCAAGGGTACCATAGCCTACCTAGTTATCAGTGGTGTAATATTACTATATCTATAATACCACGGGTACCATAGCCTACCTCGTTATCAGTGGTGTAATATTACCATATCTATAATACCAAGGGTACCATAGCCTACCTAGTTATCAGTGGTGTAATATTACTATATCTATAATACCAAGGGTATCATAGCCTACCTCGTTATCAGTGGTGTAATATTTCTTTATTTATAATACCAAGGGTACCATAGCCTATCTCGTTATCAGTGGTGTAATATTACCATATCTATAATACCAAGGGTACCATAGCCTACCTCGTTATCTGTCGTGTCATATTACCATATTTATAATACCAAGGGTACCATAACCTACCTCGTTATCAGTGGTGTAATATTACTTTATCTATATTACCAAGGGTACCATAGCCTACCTCGTTATCTGTGGTGTAATGTTACTTTATCTATAATACCAAGGGTATCATAGCCTACCTCGTTATCAGTGGTGTAATATTGCTTTATCTATATTACCAAGGGTACCATAGCCTACCTCGTTATCTGTCGTGTCATATTACCATATTTATAATACCAAGGGTACCATAACCTACCTCGTTATCATTGGTGTAATATTACTTTATCTATATTACCAAGGGTACCATAGCATACCTCGCTATCTGTGGTGTCATATTACTATATCTATAATACCAAGGGTACCATAGCCTACCTCGTTATCAGCGGTGTAATATTACTATATCTATAATACCAAGGGTACCATAACCTACCTCGTTATCAGTGGTGTAATATTACTATATTTATAATACCAAGGGTACCATAGCCTACCTCGTTATCTGTGGTGTCATATTACCATATTTATAATACCAAGGGTACCATAACCTACCTCGTTATCAGTGGTGTAATATTACTATATTCATAATACCAAGGGTACCATAACCTACCTCGTTATCAGTGGTGTAATATTACTTTATCTATATTACCAAGGGTACCATAGCATACCTCGTTATCTGTGGTGTCATATTACTATATCTATAATACCAAGGGTACCATAGCCTACCTCGTTATCAGTGGTGTAATATTACTATATTTATAATACCAAGGGTACCATAGCATACCTCGTTATCTGTGGTGTCATATTACTATATCTATAATACCAAGGGTACCATAACCTACCTCGTTATCAGTGGTGTAATATTACTTTATCTATATTACCAAGGGTACCATAGCCTACCTCGTTTGAACTCTTCCATCATTATCGTTCGGGTACTTAAAGACACATTAAACGTGGAATTCTGTTGAGGATAAGCTGGGGTGATGATAGGCATAAGGTGAAAACGGTCTGAAGGATTTACCTGAAAATGCAAACAAATAAAATACAAAGATGTACAACTTCATATTAAGAATACTAGTCTGCAGACAAGTGTGAAAAACTTGACGTACTTGACCTTTTTTTCATCGCAAATATTTGAAAATTTAGTTGTCTTAACTTGGCACCTACCATCGTACTATCTTCATTACTTCTATGTCAGTTTTACCTTTTCTCTTTCTTTATTCGTATGTGTTTGAACAGTAAATGCACCTCAAGGTAACTTTTGCTCAAACTTCATACTGCTGTGTATAAAAGACAATCTTCAAAGTGAGTGTCGTTTCATATTTTTACCGTACAGTACTTACTGTGAAAGAAATAGAAACGATCATGGCAATATGAGAAAGAAGACCTGCTAAGTACTTTCTGTGGCCATCTTGTTTTTACAAGTTTGACAACCATCATATTCTGAGAAATGGCAATAACAAACCTTCATCATCAAAATGAGATGAGGGCGATTTTTTTTATTGTGTAGTTTGTAAAACATTCATTTTGGCATTACCTTGTCAAATGTGTTCAGTTTTTTGTCTCCCAACACACACAGATACTTTAGCAGAACAGAGTTTATCTGGGAATGACCACGTTCCCAGATCGATGTTACTGGTTTTTTAAAGTTGTGTAGAGATCCGTCATGGAGCAAGCCTCTGAAAATCCCCCCACGATGTTCCAGGGAAGAATCACGGAACCCCCATTCCTTATTTGTAGTGAAATGAGCGCCATTTGTACAATCGGTTAATAAGTCATAATATTTTTAACGATTGCCAATTTCCTTATCTTTATTCAAACGTTTCGGGTATTGGGTTACTAACGAGTAAAAACGACATGTGGACCAATTTTCCGGAATTTTTTTAAAGACGGCGGCTGGCGCATTCACATTTTTTTTCTATTACTTTCACATTAAAATCGGCAATGCGATGCCCTAAAATGAAATGCGCGCTGGCCTGAGAACCAAGTAATTAATTTGTTTTGGCCTGAGAGGTATATATCATGATACTTATAATTCTTGCTTGCGATATATCGTGTAAATTCAAAGCAATAAGAATGCGTTATGTGTGAAATCATACTCATAACTGACACTGTGTTGTCGGTCGACAGCGTAGTGCTGTTCTTGTATACTTTTCACTAAAAGGACTGGATATTGCGCTATTTCTGTCGTAGCTATTTTTATCATTGGCTTTTCCAAAAGATGTAACTGACCACACTGGTCGTTGGCTTCAGGTCATGTCATTATTAACTTCGTAAACTTTCATAAGGATATATATGTTCAGGTTGTCATTTGACTAAATAGCCCCTCTAATACATTTGACCCTAGTAACATTGTGAAATTTATGAAGGTTATTCATTTCTAAAGCTCAAAAGCCATTCATTTCAGCAGTCTATCGCCCAAATATGATCACCCTAGGAGAAGTCATTTATAATATTTTCTTTCAATGCATTTGACCCCTATGACCTTGATTATGGGTGAAGGCCTTCCATTTCAATACACATGATAACACTTCACCCAGCAAACTACTGAACAAATACAACAAACCTAGGTGTTTCGGTTATTTAGAAAAAGTTGCTTTACATGAACACATTTGACCCATGTGATAATGTTATCGACCAAACATCATGACTCTAGGCCTTGTGATCTTCAGAAAAAATTGATAGAAGTTTTTGACATATTTGACCCCTCTGACCTTGACTATAGGTCAAGGTCATTTTTATGCCATTCTGTTCTTTAGAAGAAGTCTTTTGAAGTTCTGGACAACTATGACACCTGTAACTTTGTTTTGCGGTCTATCCCAGAAAGATGTCAGCGTATTATTATGATTCTACATATTTCTGTTCTTCAGTAGAAGTTGTTTGAAGTTTTTGACATGTTTGACCTGTGGGACCTCAAACAAAGTTTGATGTAATTTTCATTTGCAAGTTTGTTCCAGCAAACTTCCAGCCAAATACTAAGATTCTAAGTCTTACAGTTCTTTAGAAGAAGTCATTTGTAGCTTTTGACATTTTCATTGGAAAACTTTGTTGCGTTCTATCCAAGTAAGCTACCATCAAAATGTTATAATTCTATCCGTTTCCATTCTTCAGAAGTGGTTTGGAGTTTTTGATATATTTGACCCCTGAGTCCTTGAAAGTAGGTCAAGGTTATTTTCATTCTTAAGTATTTGATCCCTGTGATCTTTGAGGCTTTACCGAAGGAAGCCACTGGCCAAATATCTTGTCTCTTAGGCCTTTCCTTTCTTCAAAAGAAGTCATTTGAAGAAAACGTTGATAGACGCCACATCAGGGCATAGACTCACTTGCCCTTTGGGCAGATGAGCTAATAATGAAGTCCCCTTTAAGCGAATTGAACTTTGATCAATTTGCCTAATTAGGCCCTGCCCTCTTTCCCCTAAATTGGGGGACACACCTTCTATTTATACAAAGGTCAGTCCCCTGTCCAAAGGATTCCCCATAGGAAATTAACTTTTATTGTTTCCACATTCCACAATTGGTGACCAATTCCATGAAGCCTGCTTACCCTGGGATCCCAGACAGGAAAGCTCAACCGATTATCTGTTTGAAGGGGCTTCAATAAGATTGGTTGAGGCCAGTCCCTGAAATACACAACAAATTTGCCAGGAATTCCACTAAGGTTTGCACATAAATATTTCAGACAAATGTTAAACAATTAAAAAAAAAATTATAAGTTATTTTCCTCTAATTTACAAAGTGGTGGTAATCAAAAAGATTTCTCAGAGTGTAGTCTTATTAACAAATAACATGGCAGTGTATGAAACTGTCCAAAGACGATATCTGTTACAAAATGACACCATCAGTGTTAAATGACCATCACTGAAATGGTATTGTTTAGAAATGACAAGTTTAAAAGAGAAGGGATGTTTTAAAGATTTTCCTTCAACTGGATATGAATTCATTTGTACTTTTTTATATTGTGGCCAATGCCAATGATTTGAATATTTGGAATGTGATGAAACTGACCATTTGTAGAAGACCATGAAAAACTTGTGAAGCAGTGTAGCCGGGGCAGCATAAGGGTAAAGCTGACACACTCGTGCAACCAACATGGCCCATGACACTCCACCAAGAAATCCTAGTGCATTGGAGTAGATACCTCTCTCTGCAAGTAAAACATCTCCATCAGATCGAGTCAGCCATTCTAAACTAGAGTACTGACAGGTTAGCAAGGGCCCTGTCATGTGCCTGACTGTATCCCCCAATGTTCTATATTTAGTAACAGAAACCTTGACCTTAAAAACATTTTAAAAACTATATTGCATATATACACAGCACACTTATTACCACAGGTACCTAGCTATCTGAAATGATAGACAAGAATTATGCATAATTAGATGTCACGCCTGTCCCCGCTTTGAGCATAAGATTCAATGTGTCAAGCATTGTAAGTTTCAGCTGAAGTTCGGAATTTTACATTTAATGACCAATACATCAACATGGAGGTATAAAAGGAACAAATGCTTATTGTAATGGGAGCCGGCTATTACAGATGTCCCCCAAACTACCCCCGCATTCAGTAAAAAACAAATGTAAATAGGAGAATGCAAATTTGAGCAAAATAAAAATATATGTGAATTTCGACCAATCATAGAAGCCAGTATACGACTAATATCTTGTCAGACAGAAAACGGATGCCACAGTTAGGTTCACAGTGTGAAAATACACTTACATACTGTTTTTTAGCGAAATTGAACAACAACTGCTTTTCGACCAATCAGAAGCCAATATACAGTGGCCATTTTGTCAAATAATAAAATGAATATCATGGTTGAGTTTGCAGTGCCAAAATACATGTACATACTAAATTTGACTGAAATTGAATAATAACTGAATTAGGACCAATCAGAAGCCAGTACATGTATAAGGCGACCATTTTGCCAAATCAGAAAACATAAGTCGCAGCATTCAGTGCCAAGATACATCTATATACCAAATTTGAGCGAAATCGAACTATATCTGAATTTTGATTAATCAGAAGTAAATATACGGCGACCATCTTGTCAAATCAGAAAATGGATGCCGCAGTTGAGTCGGCAATGCACTACACTTTCATACCGATTTTTAGCGAAATCGAACAGTAACTTAATTTCGACCAATCAGAAGCCAATACAAAGTGGCCATTTTGTCAAATCAAAAAAGGATCTTGCAGATGAGATCACAGTGACCAAATACACCTTCATATAAAATTTGAGCGAAATCGAACAAATATCTAAATTCCGACCAATCAGAAGCCAGTATACTGTGGCCATGTTTGCTGTCTGATTCCGTTAAAACGTTGACATTGTAACCCTAAAGATGGTAATGATCATCCCAACTTACAGTCTAAGTTTCAATGTTAGAGATACAGCATATAACACATAGCTATCAAAGCCACATTCACCAATCATCCATACCTGCCAAGTGACCCGATTACGTCGGGTTACACCCAGAATTTTAGCCCTTCACCTGCTTTAATAACTTAACACGCTGGGTTATGATTTTGACCCAGTTTGGTCAATTTCAATGCTTATATATACTGTTGTTACTGAACTTATCGACAAGTAATTAGTGAGATGTTTTAACGAATAATTGAGTTGTTTTTACAATTGTGTCTTTGTAGTAAAGATTACATTTTGAAAGAAACGTCTTCTGGAAGGAAATTGTGCACATATCATGTCATAGAAAAATTAGTTACAGTGGATAATCTGCCTTATGTATATTAAAAGTTGACGAAGGTCAAATGCATTTAAAGATCTTACCTGATGATGGTTGGCTAAAAACTTCTTTGGTGTAAAATGTAATCTTAATTTCAAAGACACATTTTTTTGTGATTACCTGATAACGATAATATTTTACAACACAACTTTTTCAGATATATGTATTGGATTTTATAAAATACCAACTTTTTGCCCATAACTTTACAGCCCGAAGAGTCATTCTGAAGCTTTCTTTGTTGGGTACCAGATGAAGTATCTCATCAGTCACTCGACAACCTGTAAATACCAAATCAAAGGATATTGCTGAAAAGGATAAAATCTTGAATACAACTATAATCTATAATTAAAACATTGAATTTTAGATCTTATTAACAAGTAATCATATAAACATATGACAGATTGAAGGGATTAATTTCTCTCCAATAATAAGTGGATTATTTCTCTCCAATCATAAGGGGATTATTTCTCTCCAAAATCATAAGGGGATTATTTCTCTCCAATCATAAGGGATTAATTTCTCTCCAATCATAAGGGGATTATTTCTCTCCAATCATAAGGGGATTATTTCTCTCCAATCATAAGGGGATTATTTCCTCTCCTGTCATTCGATCTACATACGTCAGTTATTATAAGACTACTTTACTTGTTTATTTTACACATATTTGACCCCTGTGACCTTGAATATGGTGAAGGTTATTCATCTGAACAAACTTGCAAGCGCTTCATCCAACAATGTTACTCATCAGATATCACCACCCAAGGCCTTTGCTTATTTGAAATTTGAGAAGGATCCCTCCAGTACTGTCCGAGAAACAGCACTAACAAATTTTAACTCTTAAATTCAAGATGACTCCCTGTCGGCCATTTCAGTTTTGTGATCAGTCCCAAAATTTGATATGCATAACAAGGGACCATGGGGAACCTCCTGTCAAATTTGAAAATGATCCTTGTAGAACTTTCCCAGAAGTAGCACTAACAAGATTTGTTTAAATAAGGATGGAATGACTGACGAAGTGACAGACAGATCACAGACAAAGGGTGATTTGAATAGCCAACCATCTCATGATGGTGGGCTAAAAAGGTGATGCCAGACGCCGGATGGACGGACACAGGACGCCACACCACGGCATAAGCTCACTCAGTCCTCCTGGCTAGGTGAGGTTAAAATCATATAGAGGATATGCCCCAGGCAATAGTATAGCAGATATGCCCCAGACAATAGTTAGCAGATATGCCCCAGACAATAGTATAGCAGATATGCCTCAGACAAACCCCTTCACAGGAGACTTCCTGGTATTTTGCTTACTTACCATTAAGACTTCTAACACATTTTTCTGACAGGTTTTTTAGCAATGCTTCATCTCGCAAGTCAATATCTTCTGGTATCTGTGGCAGAGCTAGCCGTGCAAACAACATATCAAGCTGAAATAAAGAAAAGTTTAAGGCTTCATTCATGAACTAGGTAAAACAGTCAAACTAAACACTGAGCTATAGCTAATTTGATTCAACAACAAAATATACGTATACAAAAGCCGTCCTCATATCTTGGGTATATGTAATTGATGTCAGATTGCCTATTCAATCATTTAGATGCTGATTTCACGAAAATATCTGATACTGTGTGTGAGTGGCTTTTAGCAAAAGTTCAGGTTATAGTCTAGTCAATGTATGGTTTAAAGAAATTGAAGCCCATGAAAATCCTGGACTTCGCTGGGTTTTTTTCATTACTTTTCGGTCAAAATTGCACAAAAAACGTGTTAACATATTTGACCACAGAAACCCTGAAAATAAGTCAAGGTCATTCAGTTGAGGAAACTTTATAGTGTTTCATCCAAGGTACCAAATGGCCAAATATCATCACCCTGGGGTATCTGGTTATTCAAAAGCAGTTGTTAAAAGATTTTTTTTATGTATTTGACCAGTGTGGCCTTGAAAGTAGGTCAAGGTAATTTATTTAAGGAAATTTTATAGCACCACATCACAGCATGCCACTGACCAGATATCATCACCATATGTAACCTAGATATTCAGAAGAAGTCATGTTAAAATATTTGACCCCTGTGACATAAAAGATGAGTACTGAGTACTAGCAGGTTCCTTTTTAAAGAATCAGTCAATCTCAGGCTCGATTCGGGAATCGCTCGCACACAGATTGATTTGTGTTTTTTACTGTTCATATGCAGAAGTAATGCATGCTCCCCCATCTTGCCTAGGTTGCAACTGATACTGATGCTTGTTGCCTTTGAATTCTCTGGCCCATCTTGCAAACCATTTGACCGCTAAGCCACTTCCGATTAAAGATACACTTTCCCCATTAGGTCTACTACTAGACTACTGACAGTACTGTTCGTTCAAAAATGACAACTTGTCCATGGCCATTTTCGTATATCGCAATTCAAGCGGTTGAAGCGGCTGGCCCGTGTTGTTTGTTTAAGGTCGTACCCAGTAATCTGACTTTTAGGCGAGCCTCGACAAAGCTTTCATTTTGTATCACATTAACGAACAGGCCCCTTTGTGTTTTTCTGATCTTTATCACGAAATTGCTTTACTATATGTACAACTGCAGTATCAAACATTATAATGACCCAGAATGATGGTATGAGTAGTATTGGGTTTTATGCATTTTAAGACCGTTTATTTTTAAACTTTCTAAAAAGAAATGCACATATGGACAATCTAACCTTAATATAACACTGTTTTTATTAGTTTTTAGGGTTAGTCAAGACAGTTACTGATTTTCAAGGTTTTTAAAGGCTTAACATGGTTTTTCAAATTTTGGCATCTTTTTCAAAGATTTTTCAAATCTGTGCAAACCATGTTTTCAGATATATAGGTCAAGGTCATATTTCAAGGTTGAGGTTATAGTTTAATACATGAGACTTCATATTTGGTCAAGTGAAAGTCAAAACTATATCAGGTCAAGTTAATATTTCAAGATTGAAGGTCGTATATACTACAGAGGTACTTGTCATCCAAATCCAACCTCAAATTCATCATTTTGTATGTGAAAAAGATGTCTTCGGTCTATTACTTGTGAAAAATTGACTGCAAAAATTATGATTTTTTTTTTACAGTTGAAAATGACTTTTTTATGAATATTGAAAATTTTGTGACAAGGGAGATCATTTAAATTCAGCTACCTCCCTTATATATCAACAAGAGGCCCAAGGGCCTTTAATAGCGGTCACCTGAGTTATATTAGAGGTACTGGTAGTTTTATTTTTATTGTTTAGATGTGATGTGGAAATCAGCATGTAAACTAAGTGAAATACATTACTTGTCATGTCATCAAAGGATAAGAATTTGAAAATATTGGTTAATGTTCTCTTGGGTGCCTCGCCCTGCTCCTACAGAAGGTTGTCAAAATATACCCAAAAGTGTTATTCCCCAATATAAACTATAGTAAACTTTACCCCTCCCCAAGGGAGAACGGATAGCTCGGGAGTCCTTCACTGACGGGAATTTAACTTCAAGGCAGACAATTTTTTGCTTTTATTTTGTATTATATAAGCTTTATGCAAACCCCTTTAATCTGTTTGTTTATTTGTTTGTTTATGTTTAACGGCCCATCGACGGCTGTGGTCATTTAGGGCCATGGTGATTTATTTATTTATTTTACTTTTTTAACAAACATGTGAATAGCAAAGATAAAATCAGATAAAATGGTTCATTTCAAAAGTATTCGCATTGTATGTGTAGATGATAAAAAATAATAAAAGGGGGTTAAAATAATAAAAGAGATAACGAATAGATGATATGGAATATGCGATATATATATAACGTCAAAAATGATAAGGTGGGTTAAAAGACATCAGAGTCTATAAAATAG